CATTTTAACTTGTGTGTCTTGATAAATGTTCTGTTTTATGTGTTTCTGGACACAGTTGTTCTAATATGTCTAGAAACACATAATGTGTCTTCATGCCCATAGACACAAGAGATAAGAGTTAAAATCTCTCTGGGGCCAATTGGAGACGTTACTCTTTTAATTTAGAATTGTAGGTAGAGTAGTATTTGTCCAACACATTAACAAGCATTTTTGATTGAAACATGGTTGATGCAGAGTCTACAGGAGGATGCGTAATAATCTCATAATGTTCTAGTTCATAGTAAGTCTGCTCTGAATGGTTATCTCGCTGTTGAGGCTTTATTTTCAGTCATCAAGAGTTTTCTTAAAGAGAGATACAGAATAATCCGTCTCTAATGGAAAGAGGCCATGAGTGTATTATTTTAGATGGGTTTACTAATTACGGTAGGAATCAGATCATGGTTTAAATACAATGGCTGCCACTTTTCTCAGTTGCTTGAGCGAAGTATCCCAGCTGAAGATTCTCCACAAACAATGCTCTGGAAAAAATGTTGCCCCTTTCTGGATTTCAGTCTTACACATGTCAAAGATAATGTTGTTTTCATTTATTAAGCTGAAAAAGCTATCCAAACCTACCTGGCCCTAAATGAAAAAGTAATTGCCCTCCCTAAACGTAATAACTGGTTGTGCCATCTTTGGTCACAAGATCTGCAATCAGGTGTTTGTGGTAACTGGCAATGCTTCTTTCAAAATGCTATGCAGGAATTTTGACCCATTCTTCTTTGCAGAATTGTTCAAATTTAGCCTCATTGGAAGGTTTTCAAGCTTGAACAGTCCCTTTAAGGTCATGCCAAATCATCTGGACTCTGACTAACCCACTCCAAAACCTTCTCAGCTTCTCTCTTTTTGTTTTTGGAGCTGCTGGTATGTTTTGGATAATTGTTCTGCTTCATAGCCCGAGTGAGCTTGAGCTTCAGGGTCATGAACTGATGGTCAAACCTTTTCTGGTAGAGACTGAAATTGATTGTTCCATCAATTACAATAAGTCGTCCTGAAGCAGCAAAGAAGCCCCAGAGGATCACATTACCATCATTGACTGTTCTCGTGTTCTTTTTATGAAATGCTGTGTTAGTTTTATACCACATGTAACAGGACTAAAACACTTGGGAATTATTAAGATGGGTTTTTCCCCCTATTTTTTGGCAAAATTTGCAATGATCCCTTGTGTCCTTTTTAGTCAGCAGTGGTTTTCTCATTGGATCTTCCATGGATGCCATTTTTTTTTTTATTTTCTTATTATTCTTATTGGTGAATCATGAACTCTGACCTTAACTGAGACAAGTGAGGCCTGGAGTTCTTTAGATGTTGTTCCTGGTGACGTCCTGCATCACTTGTCGATGGAGTCATTTCCGTGGTCTGGGACGGTTCACCACTGTTCCAGGTTTTCTCCATTTGTGGCTAATGGCTTTCAACATGGTTCTAGCGCTGATGTAGTCAAGTTTTTTTTGTTTTTTGTTATAAGACTTTACAAGTTAGCTGTAAAGTGAACGAGTGTGCAGTCATTTTGGGGAAAACTGGCTGCAGCTGACAGAGTTCAGTTTCCTCCACCAGTGCAAAATTGAAGTGGCCAGTAGGACGTGAGAACAATGGCCTTCAGATTCAGTGATGGCTTGCCATTTGAGCTGACACAAGACAACAAAGTGAGATTCTTAAATTGAAATACGTGTTTTTTGCCTTAAAGATCATTGATTTTTTTTTTGTATGAATTTCCTTTTTAAGGTGGAGGCGATGACACTAAACGATGTGGCACAAAACAAATTAGAGCCTGAAAACTTGGCCAGAAAGGTTGGAGATGATGAAGATAAAAGGGGGGATTGTACTGGAAGGCTTGGAAGTTGTGAATACAACAACCGGGACTTCCCATCTTTGCCCTCATTCTCATGATTATGCTTTTACATGAGCATTTATAAGTTGTGGGTCAGGCCACGCCGTCCCAATTATAGTCATTATGTTCTCCTATAGCATTTTTTTTAGTCCTATTTTATTTAAGCTCCTCCTCCTAAATCAGATGTATATGTAATGGAGCTGAAACAAAAAACCTCTATGCTAATCATTTCAATCAGTTCTGTAGCATAAAAAACATTTAGTGGTTCCAGCTTGCAAACATGCAAGGAGGAGGAATCTTTCGGGTTCGGAGTCCAAACATAAAAAAGTTATTTAAAAGTCATGCTAGCTCTTTGGAATGCTATAATGGGCATTTTTCCATTGTTGTAAATGGAAAAATCACTTTTATCATTTCCAGTTAGCCCTTTATTGGTGGTTTTTGTGTCAGAAGCATTTATTAATACTGTAATATAAACGCTAGAAAGATGGAGCAAAAAAAAAACCAACCTTGCCATTGCTCCAGATATATAAAGACCTGAGCCAGCAGCCACTTTGCTTTGCTGTCTACGAGCTACTGTGGTGAATACTTGACTGGCCCAGTTCTTGCACATTGTAGTTGCAGTGTGCGGTTGCTGATTCATTGCCGTTCTCTGCCCCCCGTCCTGCCCGCGTCAACCCCATGGCTCTCTCAGCCGCCTCGGCGGTCTCTCTCTCCTCCCTCTCTTCCTGTCCCCTCGCCACTCTCTCTTTGTTTGCTCCGTCTGTCTCTCTGCCCCTCTTGGCCCATCGCTAACCACTTCTCTCTCCTTTTCTTTAGCATGACTCCACATTTTGGCTGCTACTCTCACCAGTCTGTATTTTCTTTGACCTGAGCGAGCCATTTGAATATCGTTGATGCACTTCTTACTAAAATTTGCATGTTAATGACTTTTGATCTAAGGTCAAAACTGGCTATGCAAACCACCGTTTCCCTTCAACTGTTTTGTTTTTTTATTTCCATCTTTCTTCTTGTGTGCTCTCCGTTTCTGGGCATCATACCACTCTCTGCTTATTAGTCCCACTCCCTGTCCTTGCCTCTGTGCCTTGCAGTCCATCAGCATGACAAGAATAGGAAATGGTGTTTCCTGAGATCCTGAGTTTCATCTTTTTAGTACAATAGTTCGAAATGACCCATATGCGAGTGGAAGAAGTCTGCAGGAAATGACATACAAGTTACTGTAAATCCATTAGAGGAACCCCGTGCTGAATCATGGTTCTGCCATTGTTGTTTGTGTGTATGTGTGTGTGTGTTACAGAAACATGATCTCTTCATCGCCCTCGTCCTGGAGTACATGGACTGTTAAGTCATGGTAGCAGCAATTTTACTTTGCTGCTTCAGTTCCAGCAGTTGGGTTCAGATGATAGATATGTGTGCTGTTTTGTTCAGTCATTGTTCACAAAACATGGATCCTGCTAATGGCATTTGCATTATCATGACTTTAATTAGCATAGATTAATAGGATAATATTAAAAATCTAAAGAAATATAAACATCACAGAGCTGCTAGTCTTAGGCACAAATACAATCCACTCTCTACACCCTCTCCTTACTCACTTTCACTCCTTTTAAATGTTTACTTCAAGGGTCGGCCACATTAACTGCTGGGTTATAAAACCCTCCAAAACAGAGAGTGCAGTGATGCAGGGTTACTAACCACACACCATGAAGGTGCACCATCTGTTTTGTGACTGATGTGGAGGAAACAGTAAACACTTACAGATATGACTTCTGCCTTCCCCTTTCTAGCCATGCAGCATGTGCAGTTCCCGAACATTATCGTGGTTATTGATCACATGAGGAATTCCTTTTTGCTTCTGTTGCTCACCACTGCGTTCTTGGTTTCAGCTGTTAGTGAAAAACGTTTGCATAAATGAAAGTGCGTGTCAGCAGAAACAAGGACTATGATTAGGCTTATATTTCTTTCTGTTTTGGTTCTTTAAGTTTTGTTCACCACATCTTTACCTTAATGGCTAATCCCTACACTTTCCTGACTGAACAGTAAAGGAAAGAAGAGGTGGCTGCGTGCTTTGAAGATGCATTTATTTGGATTTATTTTAGCTTCCTTTTATTTGGCTGAATTGCCTAGGAAGTTTGCACAGACTCCTCAACATCTGCTTCTTCAACAGTTAAAACTTTGTGGTGTAAAAGAATAACAATCACCCGTTGTATGGGATCCTGGTGCAACAATGTCTCAGTGAAAAAAATAGCACTCGGCAACAGTGGGAATAAAGAACTCCCTTTAACAGGAAGAGACTCATGTCGCTTTTTCCTTATTAATGGTGAACTGAGCTGCTCACTCAATATCAGTCTGGTCTTAATAAACCATCAGGCAATATCTGCTTTGCTCCTCAGTAACTACTCTTAGATTTGTGTATCACATTCTGTTACGCCGTGTATGTTTTTAGGAAACCATAGCTAGGCTCAGGACTAACAGAAGTAAGTAAATTTGCTGCTAAGAGCAAAATGACTAATTACTAATATTTTTTTCCAAGACTTATCCATACACACATTCATTCTAACTTCACTTGTGGCTCCCATGTGCACAGAGATCCAAATGTAGCTAATGCTAAACAAGTACCACATAAACTAAGAGAAAGACTGAGGCCATTCTTCTTCTTAGACTGTGTATACAATATTTACATGGATGTAGCTTCTTGTTTTTAGCTTTTGATCATCATCATTTTTTACACTTGCACCTTAGCTCTCAGACTATAACTGCATGAGAGGCTAAGTTATGTTCATTCAGAAAGATGAATTGAAACACAGTATTGGTGCATTAACACAGGCATAGACACCTGCTAATGAGAGCACATGAATAGAAGGAGTTTACGCAACAATACTCAATCAATTATTTATCACATTATTGCAATGCAACTGCACAGGTTTATTGTCATATCAGTGGAGGTGAGTCCAAGCAGACAGCTACAGCCACCAGTGGGCACCCGCCTGTCAGTATAAGTAGCCAAGGCACTAATAATACATGACTGTGAGCTTTGAGACCGTTTAAAGGGCTGGTTCTCTTCCTTCGCAGTTGTCACAAAAGGAGGGGGGGGGGGGGGGAGAGGAATAAATAAACTGTAAAGTAAAGTAAAGTTGGGCACTTCAGCAGGAGTCAGCCTCGTGTGGCATTAGAGGAACTACACAGGGTTCAGTTTTCAGTCCTAAAGGTTGCCACGTGGGTTTTCCCTTTAACAAAGCTAAGAGTAATAAGTTAACATACATGACTCGTGAAATGCTGCTCTTTTGGCCCTTATAGATAGTCATCATCTGTTGATTAAAATAGTTATGCGTTTCCTTGTTGAGTGTAGAGACTGAACCACTGGTGCTATCTCATACTTATATATATTTTTTATTTCTTTATGAAATGCTTCCTGAAGCGTATCGTTCTTCTTCCTCTTCTCTCTTCTTCCTCCTCTATTATTAGCCCATCTGTCCTTCCTCTATCACGACAGAACAGGCGTCCAGTCATTTTTTTCTTTTTTAAAAATGGCATTCTCACTTCTCATCATGTTTGCCAGGCCACTCTGAAAAGGGTGCGCTATGACCACGAGAGTACACCAATCCCACCCTCTACAATAACATCACGTTGTCAGCCTGAACTGGGCTGAGCTGTGTGGCCTTGCTCCCCAGGAGACATGTGGTCATGTTTCACTGGAACCTGACGTGGTGGGGTTTGGTTTTTTTTTGCTTGTTTTGAGTGTCTGTGTCTGTGCACTCAAAGTGAATATCTGTCCTCCTATTTTTGCCTGGCACCGCCTTTCCCTGACCTCTGTGTGGACACTCTCTCTGAACTGACTGGTCATTATCGCTCACTTGGAAAACTCCAGCCATTGTATCACACTGGAGAAAATATGCGTGTTGGAGAAAATGGGCAAGGCTCATCCTCATGACAACTTAACACAGCGAAGACTTCTTTGAAGCGTCAAAATTTCCATGTTGCAGGGTTACCATTTGTCCAGAATATTAACAGACACCTAAAGTCTGCATAAGAATAGAATAGAAAGACTCTCAGAGCCATGTCTTTCCTCTGTGTGGACACTATCTCTGAACTGAGTGGTCGTTATCACTCAGTTGGAAAACTCCAGCTATTGTACTCACAGTGGAGTACATGCACACACCAAAAAAAAACCCTGCACTCTACCCCGATCCTGCCTTGTCCATCTCCGTCCAGCCCTAGGCTCCTCTGTGCTGCTCACACAGTCTGATTGAATTAACCTCGCTTGGTGCCGTTATCTATTGAATTAGCCCGTCATTGCTTCCCTGGACACTGCAGCTGTATGTTCCTCCCTGGGCTAGTTCACTAACAAGCTGCACGAGGTGAGTCATTCATGTCCCTTAGCTGTCGCCGTCTTTGCACTGCTACACAGGGGTCAACAGATGGAAAGTGACGTTGTTTTTTGGACTGTATCGGCTTTCTTTCACCGTGACCATTATGACTCACTTGGTGCTTCCTCTTTGTGCTGCCTACATATGTGTGTCAGATCGCATTATTCAGACATCTGAATGCTGCTGACATGTCTTTAGCAGATGTTGTGCTGGAAGGTAACAAGTGGCACATCCTGAAGCCTGCTGGTCTGAGGGTTGATTGTTTTAAGACTGAATATTTATTTCTTAAAAATAAGAACCAATTTCAGAGTAAAACCGGTAAAAAGTCATCCATACATTTATTTTCTGTTAGTATTGCAACTCTCTCTCCTCCCTGGTATGGACAAAAGTCAGTCGTTCGCCTCAAAACGGTTCAAAAAAGTTTTTACTGACAACATCACATCGCCCCAGCCTAGTCGCTTCTCTCCGTTAACTTCCTTTGCAGAGTCTGGTGCTGCGAAGCAGGTCCAAAACAACTCCTGTGGACGCTACCATCCAAACATCACCTTCTTAAACACACACAGAAATAGAGACCCAAGTGAAATGAAGATAACATAATACCATAAATAAATTTTTTTGATTTAATTTCATATTGGCAGTGCAAATTATCTTAAGATGGCAAAACAATAGGATTTATTGCAGTTTTTGTGACAATATACAGTCCAAAAAATAGTTATTGCTATGAGTCCCTTTAATGTGAAAGAAAAGACAGAAAAAGTATGGCCATAGTTACACAACATTAAAGAATTCAGCGCGTCACAAAAGCATTGAGCTAAGATACAGTCTAATGTAACCTTTGGAGAAACTACAACCAAACTTATAGACCAGATACAGTTTACATCAAAAGGAGGAAATTTGAGCTTTAGAGCTTCTACTTTAACATAATGACAATTGTATTTAAACAGTGTGCCTTAAAACTAAGCGCACAGTGAGAGGAAACTAAAGGTCGCTGCTCTCCTAGTTTTGTGTTACTGAAAATGAGAAGATAGTGGTCGTTCTAATCTCTTAAAATTCTCTTCGTCACTGAACAATCTCTGCTCGGATCAGAAACTTGTTCAAGAAAACCAAAGCAGCCACCAGATGTCTTGCAGTCCAACGCTTGTCTCTGCTGCCTTGTTATGTAGCCGCATTTTTAAGGAGGTACACATCAAAAGCAGCGCAGTGAATCAAGCTTTATTTGTAACATGACTCCATTTTATTGGCATCTCTGCCCAAAATTGGGGATAACAGGAGAGTATATGCAAAGTAGGAGAACTTAAACAGCCTCCCTCTGGCTCAGTTACACAATCACTTCACCATCTCACTGATAATCACTTGATAGTGAGGAACAGCACAAACACAGCAATGCACGATTACTCAAACACTTCAGCCTTTTTTTAGCAACAGCAGATCATCTGCTGGAAATAAAGCAAACGTTTAGTCTGTTTTTTTGTTTGTGTGTTTGTTTTTACAGCTGCAGGTGTGGATTACGTGCATATATGTATACAACGAGGTGGAGACGCAAATGTAGACGTGGAGGATTGTGTCGTGTTAAAGTGACGTCTTGGCATCAATGAGCTTTCTCCTCGTCTTCATCAGTCACTCTGGATTAAGAGGGGTCACAGCCTTAGAATAACAGCCGCCACCCAGAAGGCTCATATTTGCTCATAAAGACAAGAGTCTCTGCTTTAAAAAGTCAACACTTCCTTTCAAAGATGGTCTTTGGTGATATTAAGAGCAGCGCTGCGTGATTAGTGGTAAAGTTATAAATGTCTTTATTTTGGTTTACAGCCTTTTTACTTGCTGTTTTTAATGATATCGCATAGAACTCACAGATGTGACTGCTTTAACTTTTATTGTGCTTGAGGTGTTATGCAGTTATTTTTTAGATTGTATAGATTTATCCAACCACTTCACAAACACTCGGGATTATCATAGTATGGCCTGCTAGTCTTTATTAGCCCTTGGTAATGTTTCATGTGGTCCTCAGGCATGACAAAGAAGAAAATGACATTGCTGTACATTTTAATAATCCACAGTTCATGTCAAGCAATGAAATGCCAGCACAGAATATCGTAACAGTGTATTTTTCTTCAGTTTTAACTTATTTTTATAAAAAATGAATCATAACAGACTAAAGCTTACTGACAAATGCAGTCAAAGTCCCTCTTTTCCAATTAAAGGAAGCAATTATATTAAATTTAGACAGAGATGAGTCAACTTTATGTGGACACACAGACAAATTGCAAAATCACAGATAATTAGTCCCGTCTGCACTCAGGTTCTCCCAATATGACAAAAAAAAAACATTTTTACACGCTTCCCTAAATAGAAATCATAGAATCCAGTTAAAACACTTCATCGTTAGTCATCATTAAAGGCCCGTCACTGCTGACCTCATGACTTTGGTTGTTGTGATTGCTATCAGTGACTGCTTACAGAAGGGCACCTAATGAGCTGCATTCATTTTTGCTGTGGCAAAGTGATGTCAGCATGCTAATAGCATACTCTTGCCTTTCTGTGTTCTTGCATCCTGTTTTTCACTCACTCTGTTATAAGCTAGATGCAAATGATTTATTAAACAGGAAAGATTTTAAGTTTTAAAGAGTAATATGTCCACTTAGTTTGGATTGCTCCAACTAAGAAGTGAAAGGCAGTTCTACTCCTTGGTCTTATGCAGTTTTGATCACAGGTTTAAATATGAATGTCATGATAATTTTGTGCTTTTCTTTGAACTGTTCTTTTTCAGGTGCGGAATGATTGTACAGCATAGATCTTTAATAACTTAACTAAAAAATAAGTATTGGGTGCACAAGTTTGAATTTATCTTGCATTTTCTCTAATCCACACAGGGTCAAAACTATACATTCAGGCTCAAATACATTAGTGTACCTTCACTTATGTTTGGTTAAATGACCCTTAGCAAGTAGTACCATGACCAATCTCATTTGTTTGTGGCATAATTCTGGCTGAATATTTGACCACTTTTCCAGGCAGAATCAGTAGAGTTCATTCAAACTCATCCAACCTCCACCCTGTTGGTTTCAACAGCTTTGGGAACGCCGTTCCAGGCGCTTAATGTTAGCCTGCTTTATCCATTCAAAACCAGTTTTGATGTGTTTGGGACCATTGTGGTGTTGGGACACCCAGCTATGTCCAAGTTTCAACTATCTAGATGTTGATTTGAGGTGAAGTTCTTCTCCATTCTTATCCCATTCACTTTGTGTGATGTGCCCCTAGAACCGCTGGCAGCAAAGCGGCCTCTGAGCATGATGCTACCACAACCATGCTTGATGGTTGGGACAGTGCTATTAGGTTTGAAAGTGTCACCTCTATTTCAAATATAGCTCTTGTCATTTTGGCAAAATAGCTCAATTCTTGTTGCATCCTTGACCACAAAACACCCTCTCAGTCCATGGTGATGGAAAACTGATTTCACTGTGCACAGTAACGTTGGTGTTGCAGCAGTTTCCAGTTCATGGCAGGCTTGGGCTTTGGGCAAACCCGAGTGGTTCCTGAACATCCTTGCAGATCGTGGCTTCTTCCGGGTCTTGGCAAAGTGGTGACACCTCTGAATAACTTACATACACTTGTTTGAACTGATGATCTTGGAATCTGCAATTGTTTAGAAAGGGCTCCAAGTTACTTTCTCAACTTGTGTAAATCTACAATTCTCCTCCTTAGATCTTTACTGAGTTTCTTGGACTTACATTTCAAACCTGTGCACCCAATTCTTTTCTTAGTTGTCAGTGTCATTAAAGATGTATGCTGTACAATCATTCCACCCTGGAAAAAAAGAGCAGTTCAAAGAAATCATTAAAATCCCCAAATTACCATGACATTCATTCCCATGATGAGTGTATATAATCTGAATTATACTGACACACATCCACTGATGAGTAATGGCGTGTTTTGTATACCAAAAATCGTCTGTTTCAAGGTTGTAATTTTCATAATTACATTCTCTTAAATGTGGTTGTAGTGGGTAAGCTATCAGCCGATCATCATGCAGCAGGAAACGAGTCATAGAATAACAGGACTCACAGCACTGTGGCCAAGCCTCAAAACTCAACAACAGCACGGGGAGACGATCAAAACTCGGCATGTTTTTGTTTCTTCTGAGACCACCGGGCTACAAATCACAGCTATTTGTCAGATAATCCTGTATCTCAAAACTGATATTGTACAACATGACACAGACTACTCACTCTGTGTCTTATAGTTTAAAGGATCATCAAGGTTTTTCCTGCCCTTTGGAAGTTTTTGCCAATAACCAAAGGAAAATCCCTTTCTCCTTCCTAATGCGGTCATAAAATCATTTACTAACTGGTTCTATTTATTAGAGTTTCAGCGTAATAGACATTTTGCTTGTCATGTGGTCAGACCTACAGGACAATGCATCAATTTCTTCTAAATAAGGCTGATTATGAGTCAGCCATAGTTCTAATAATGTTGGAGTCCACCCACTGTGGCTTCTATAGCGATGTTATCATATTTTAAGAAGGCTTTCTATAAGCGATGGGGAATCACCACTGGGGTTTGTAGATGTCGAGCCCAAAGGAAATGGGAGGTCAAGCAGGCAGCAGTAATGCGTCCAAACCTTACTCTCTGGCTCTGATCCCATACTTAGAAAACGCATCCTTCCCCCTGTTTCCGCCCTTAAGATCATATCAACCATCAAATTAAGAGTGTTTAAAAAAAACATAGCTGTCACAAACTCACTTCTAGCCAGATCAGATTAAGCAGTGAACTTAATGGCTTTGTGTCACAGATACAATAATAATTGACTAAAGCTTTAACAGGGAGAATGCATTCTTTATGTGCTGAGCCGCGACCCTCTTCTGTGTCTCACTCGCCACTGACAGCAGCAAAATCGCAGAGGAAACAGGAAAGGCCTGAGCAGCTTGGTGTTGGGACGGATATCCTCTTTTGGAGGCGTTCCCCCTCCTCCCTCACTTAACTCTCCTTCTCTTTATCTCTTTTTATCGTTTTTCTCCCCTTAGCCCTTGTCGCACTCTGTGTGGCATTAACAGTTTGGCGGAGCTCAGAAGCGTACCGCAAGGTTTTTGCTCCTCTGTAGATTATTTGGGACGTCAAAATCCGAGGGAATTATGTGTTGGCATGGTGACGAGGAGGATGAGGACAGCTCTGAGGTGAAGTGTTGGCTTGTTTGTTTGATTTGTGAGTTCCTGTAATAGTGGCTGAGTGACTGTGATTTCGAGTAACCCGGAGTCTTTCTCTGCTGCCGGGTTCCTGATGACTTATTTTATAGTAAGCTGTAGCTCTGCTCGAGACCAGACAATATGTAAATAGCCTCCTAGTACAGAAGAAAAAGTTGTGGTGTGAGTGGAGTCCCTTCACGTTCTAGTACCTATATGTTGTTGTGCTGTTGTTTTTCATGTACTTTCAGACAATCGTTGGATTTCTCGCACAGAAGAGAGGGACTGGCTCGTGAGAAAGCTCTGAATGAATACAATGGCCAGTCTGGGTCATGGGACAGATCTGTAATTCACTTTGATCCTTGTGTATAGTCTGAGTTTCATTTGGCAGACAAATTTCCTGAAAATAGCATCTCTAATGGTATTCCTGAACATCAGTAGTTTCAAAGCGCTGCTTGTAAACAGGTTAAACGTTGCAGAGTTTGTTTGAAAGTATTGCAAACAGCAACTGAAGAAGACTTTTGCCATTCCTCGACGCTCCTCCTGCATCTTTTTCCCATCCTCCTGCTTCCTTTTGTAGCTTTCTTGTTTGCCCTTTTCCTCTCTACCCCCACCAATCCCTCAGGCCAATCACTATCATGTCTTGCTCTCTTTCCCCCCATTACTGCCTTATCTTGCTCACCATCTCTTCCTCTTCTGTCTTTCTCACTCTCAACACCCCATCTAACCAGGCTAAGGCAGAGTGATTTGATTGTTGATTTCGTCTAATCATCTCCTCGTTTTTTCCCGCTCCGTCTCTCCTCTTGTCCAGAGTGACCCAGGCGGGCTGTCGGTTCTGGAGCAGCTTGGTCTGGACCAAAACTCGGACTTCTCGGACTCCAGTGTTCAGCAGCTTCTGGATGAGCAGCGGGAAAGGATCCGTAGGGAAATTCGCAAGGAGCTGAAGATCAAGGAGGGAGCCGAGAACTTGCGCAGAGCGACGACTGACAAGAGGAATGCACAGCAGGTAGGGTTTTATTTAAATCCAAAAAGCTCCAGGTATCATGCTTATTAATGGGAACTGATGAAATAAATGACATTAAAGACTTTGCAGTGATTTTTTTTTGTTAATAAGACAGGCAAAACCTCTATAGCTTGGCAAGGTAGGAAAAAATAAGGTTATCAGAGCAGCCCTATTTAGTTACTCAGTTTTACCACAGTAATAACAGGAAACTGGTTCAATTACAGTGTTTTGGAAATGAGGCCGGTGAATCAGGAGTACATGAGTTTACCGGAGCTGAACAGATTTGTTAGCATGCTAAGTTGCTATGCTGTTTGTTTGTTTTTTCAGTAGACTGGGACTTTCCAAAGTGTGGAGATTTCTGGGCACCTATCTCCACACTGTGAAGTGTCCTCAATCCTTCACACAGGCACATATGCTGTTTTTACATATGCAAAGCACTGAACACTGGTGTTACTGCATTGTAGACAGCACACTCGCCTAAACAGCCTGAACATTTCCAGTGAAAACACATTTGAAGTGGACTATCTCCTGCTGTGTGCTCATGCTCATGACACATGTAAACAGGAATTTCTAAACAACTGCAGAAAACAGGTCACTTCCCAGAGTGTCAGACTTTGCCTGCGGCACGACTCACTGCCCACTTTATCAGTTATACTTGTTCAACTGCTTTTTAATGCAAATATATAATCAGCATATCACGTGGCAGCACCTTAATTCATGTAGCCATGTAGACGTGATCACGATGACTTGCTAAAGTTCAAACTGAGCAAGGAGTGGAAAAATGGTGATTTTTGAACGTGGCTGGTCTGAGTAAGAAAAAGTACAGAAAATGCTGTCTACTGGGATTTTCCCACACAATCACAGAAAAAAAGAGAAAATATCACTATAGCATTTCTCTGGGTGAAAATGTCCTGTTTAGGGGAATGACTACACTCCTTTGAGCTGACAGGAAGGCAACAGGAACTTAAATAAACACTCATTACAACCATGGTATGCAGAAGAGCATCATGGAACATAAAATAAGTCAAACCTTGATGCACATGGCATATTCCAGTAGAAGACCACTCCTGTCAGCTAAGAACATTAAATATAAAGTTGCAAAACTGGACAGTAGATAATTGGAAAAATGTTGCTGGGTTTCATGAGTCTTGATTTCAGCTGCATTATTTGGATGGTGGGGTCAAAATGTGGCGTAAACAACATGAAAGCAGAAGGGTGGTGGTGACGTAATGGTGTGGGGATATTTTCTTGACCCTCCTGAGAACATAAATGCCAAAGCCAGAGTATTGATCCTGACCATGTCCATCATTTTATGTCAACATTGTATGCATCTCTTACTGGGTGCTTCCTGCAGGATAATACCCCATGTCACAAAGCTCAAATTGGTGTCTTGAACTTGACAATGAGTTCCGTCCCTCCATTTATTCAGCTTCTACTTATTCACTTTAGGGTGGTGGGTGAGTTGCAGCCTATCCCAGCTTATACCCACATAGCAAAATTGGTATGGCCCGGATGTGGCCCACACAATGTGGCTACACATGGCCCACATACCGCAAAGAATGGCGGCCCTTTGGTGGCCCAGATCAGGTTTGCCAGAGGTGGCCCACACATGGGCCAGCACAAGGCCAGTTGCAGACACACTGGTGGTCCTGTGCTGGCCCATGTGTGGATTACCTCTGGAAAACCTGATCTGGGCCACCAAAGGGCCGCCATTCTTTGCGGTATGTGGGCCAGGTGTAAGTTGTGTGCAGCCATGGGCCAGTTGCAGACACACTGCTGGCCCAGAACAGTTTCAGCTCTGGCCACAGATGTCAGCCTAATGTCCACTTTAATCAAGCCATGTAATAACAACATGTGCCGGAACATAAAAGTGCAAAAGTCACATGACGAAAACTCTGCTCAGATGGTGAATGGACTGATTCTTATATAGCGCTTTTCTACTCTCCCAGATTACTCAAAGTGCTCTATACAACATGCCACATTCACCCAATCACACACTTTCTCTACACTGAGTGCTTCCTAACTACATTCATACACATTTACCCTCTTGACATGCAGACCTAGGGATCGAACCACTAAACTTTCAGTACTTTCAGATCAGTAGGAGACCTGCTCTACCTCCTGAGCTACAGCCACCCGGTGGTAAACATGAGTAAACCCTCACTAGGTTTTGGATAAAGTGTACACTCACAAACCTGTGAAACCTGTATTTGGAAAGTTGGCTACCATAGCTGTATAGTATTGCAACATGGCATTTTAGGTCTCCTAACTAAAATGAGAAAATAAATAGTGCCTCATTGCCAGACCTGGCCCACATCATGGTTACTCCCTGCCATGATACCAGTCAGTCAGAAGTGCCAGCTTGATGCCAGATCCAGGCCAGACCTGTTTTCTATGAGCCTGGGCCACATAAACCAATCAACCACAATCGGGCAAGATGTAGCATGCCATACATACACAGTGCCACCTACGCCAGGCCTGGCCCATATCTGGATGACATACCACTTACCATGCCAGAAGTCAGCCATCAGTGCTGGCTTGACACCAGATCAGGGCCAGACCTGTCTACTATGTGGGTATAGGGATCAAATAAACCACAGACAGGTCACTCTACTCACATGGCGTACCTTTACTACTTGTGGATTTGTTTTCAGGAGATTTTTTTTCAAGGAGCATGAATGAATACTTTGTCATTTATTTTGTAACCTGCATTTTTCCTCTGATGCTAAATCTGTCACAACGGCACCTTTTTGAAACGTACATCAGCTACTTTAATATTAAAAAGGATTGCCTAGACACTGCTGCTCACAGAGTATGCATCAAACCGTTGTGCTATCATTATACTGGAGCAGTTTTATAGATGGAAGATTCTTAAAGTTTCAGGCTGTGTTTGTGTAAAGCCATAAAAAAGTCATGACTATTCAAAGGGAAAGAACTGTAGCTCACTCTCATGCAATTACACCTGTTTTATTACTGAGCGAGCACAGAAATATGTCACCTTCAGGTTAATAGTTTTCACTTGTCAGCAAATTGCCCATCAGCATTAATGGAGAACTATTTATGGCTTTTCTTTTGTTTCCTGCAGAGCCTGTGGGTGTAATGGCATTGTGTGTGAACTAACTACTTAAAAAAAACAAAGATTAATGCTGAAGGTCAACATAACAAAATAATAAATTCTTTGATGACTTTCAGGCTCAGATGTTGTTTCAAGAAAATTACTGAGAGCTTAAGTGGATCGATTCTTTTTACAGCAGCTTTAGCTCACTTAGAAATTAAAATAATCTTTATTTATCCCATCCTGGGCCTTGGATTAGCACCTTACTTCATTCTCTGTCTGAAACAAGCCATTAAGTCCACTTTCACTTCACTGAGTGCCCTTTGTAAACAAGTTTTGAGTGTTCTGCCTGAGATGACCATATTAGGGATATCCCCTCTTTTTGATGTCATACACAGCCAAGAGTAGAAAAAAACAGTCTGAATCACAGTGTTTAGAGCACTGCGCAGCATGTTTATTATAGGGAAAATAAAGGAAAGCTTCATTTAATGTCTTTGAATTGGTTCAAAGATTGACATCTTCTCTTGCTTGTCATTGTTTTCTTGCATGTCTTGTTAGTGGTCCACACGTTGTCCGGCATGTTATTCACTGGTGGGCGTGTACACTGACGATTTTATGTAGATAATATGGTTTCCATAACAGCAATGGTTTTATGTATTCAGGTGGACAGTCAGCTGCGCTCTTCAAACCGCAAGTTGGAGAACCTGCATGCTCAGCTGCAGGAACTGGACGCTCATATTGTGGTGAAGGGAGGAGAAGAGAATCGAGGTGTGTATGCTAGAAACTGTCGCTCCGTTATCTTTAGTCATTAATCTTCAGTAATTAATTCAGTGCATAAGCTGGTGTAATGACCAGCATACTAAGTACAAGTGTGTTTGTGGCAGAGATACTACATGTTTGGACTGTAGTGACTTGTTAATCAAAACGCTCGTCCACCCTAACACACAGCCTGCTTTATCAGCCTTTTTGGCTCTGATGGGGAACATCGTTTAGAGAACAGACAACAAGTTTTATTTAATGAGAATTGACAGCAGCAATTGAGAACATATACTCGTTAACTTTACTTTTCATATCCAAAAGCTGTGTCAGTCTTGTGCAGCTAGGACCACTACAGTAGATTTTTAATCATGCAATCAAGGTGTGGTTTAAATGCAAACTTTCAGCTTTAATTCAAGCGTTAAATCTTTGAGGAATTACAGCCATTTTTATACACAGTTTCAGAGGACCAAAAGTAATTAACTAACAAGTTCATTGGAAATCTCAGAATGAGGCCCAGAAAGAGGTATTTGCAAGTAAGGGAAGCAATCGTTAGACTGAAGAAACAAAATAAACCAATCAGAGACAGCAAAAACTTTGGAAGTGACCATATCTGCAGTGTCATTCATTCTTACATAGAAAGAATGTACTGGTCAGCTCAGGAACACCAAAAATGGCCTGGAAGACCACAGAAGACAGTTAAAGTGGGTGATGACAGAATTATTTCCATGGTTTAAAAAAAACACAAACAAACTAACCAAGTCAAAAGCACTTGACTTGGTACATGCTACAAAACTGATCAAGCAATCTCAGCCAAACAGCGCTTGCTTTTCAGTTATTAATCAAATCAAGTGATTTGATTTGAAATACAAAACTGACTGCAGACAGACCCACAGACAAGCAGCAACTGAGGGTGGCTGCAATAAATGCTGTGTGTGCATCTCAAGAGAGCAAACACAGCATTTCATGATGTGGATTATAGACAGTCATAAACTGCAAAGGATTTTTTAAAATCCTTATATTTAAAATGTTAGTTTGTCCAATTTCCTTTGAGCCTCTTGGAATAGAAGTCTGTGTATTTAAAGTGCTGTAATTCCTAAACAGTTCATGCTAAATGTGTCTTAAACCCCTAAATTAAAGCTCAGCGTACACTTCAATCACATCCTGATTGCTTGATGTAAAATGTGGTGGAGCACAGACTCAAAACATAATGATCTAACTTTGTATAACATGAACAAGGGAAGCCATTTTTAGTATGAGCTCAGTCCTCAGCATCTGCAGTCATGTAGTATTTCTTTTCCTCCTACTTTACAACTTATTAGAAAATTTGCTTTTGCTTATTCAAGATTCAAGATTCGTTATTTGTCACGTGTTTGGTTATACAGGTATAACACGCAGTGAACTGTGACCTGATACGCTCCTCGACTGTGCAAAGAAAAGAAGAGACAGGCAGAACTTTATATATACAGTGAATGAGTATTCAACACATGAATGACCTGATAAAAACTCCCCTTGAGCCTCTCTGTTCTTGTTCGGATGGTGCGGAACCTTCTGCCTGATTTCAGAAGCTGGAACAGTTCGTTGCTGTGATGGGACGGGTCCTTCAAAATCTCAGTTGCTCTAGTCCAGCATCTCCTGACGTAAATGTCCTGTAGGGAAGGGAGAGCAGTCCTGCAGCAGCGTTCTGCCACACGGATCACTCTCTGAATAGCTTTTTTATCCTCGACACAGCTGTTTCCATACCAGGATGTGATGTTCTGTGTGAGGATGCTCTCCACAGCGCCTGCATAGAAATTTTTATATTATTATTTATATTATATCATCTTGCTTGACATTGTTTGCTACAGCTTGTTTCTTCCCTTATGGCTGTGGTTGATCTCTGATCTTAAGTCACTGGATCAGTTTCCTGTACTCTCCACACAGAAATACAGTGCAATGTTATTGGAGGACTCTTATAATTCCCTAAAGGGTATTTTCACTTTAGAGCACACCATGTGAACCCTCATCTTGTTCCTTATTTTATACTTTCCAACCTTTACTTGTTGCCACAGATGAGTGTCCTCAGTCTCCGGGGGCTGAGAGTCGTACGTCAGCCCACAAGGAACGCATCGCAGCCCTGGAGAGACAGCTCAACATTGAGCTCAAAGTCAAACAGGGAGTTGAAAATATGATCCCTGTTTACTCCAATGGATCCACCAAGGTATGGAACAGCCTATACACACACACATGCACACACACACACACACATGCACACACTGTCAAGCACAGCTGAACAGGAGAAAGTGTACAGCACTGACTGCAAGGGTTAAAATGTCCAAGACAAAGATTCCCCCCCTCCCAAGTGGCAGACTGTGTGCGCACTTTCATGTTAGTAACCTTGCCATCTGCTGACTCATAAATACCTGATTACCTTTATTACTATATACATTGCCTTTGTTTCGTTGTCTTTTAGCCTTTCTGTTCCATCTCCACTTGTCTTACTGCTGCAGGGATATGGCACCCTGTTGATTCGTCAGTAGAATTAGTTATTTATTTGCTTTTGTTTTTGTAAAGTGACAAACATCATTCCTTTAACCTTGTATTTTATATATATGGTGAGATCTTATAATTTCATAATCAGGATTTTATAATATTTTTTTTATATTTTGTCTCATATACATCCTAGTTTCTTTTTTTTTAAAGATTTTATATCTTTAGCTTTAGATTTATTGATTTATAATGTTTAATCTGATGGCAAGTAAATGCAGGAAAACCTTGTTGTGATGTTCACTAACTGGTGCATAGTCTTAATGACAGTTATAATTGTCTACTTTTTCTGTCTTGTGATGTGGCTTGCTTACTGTTTGGTTCCCCAGGATAAGAAGATGCTGCAGACGGCACAGCAGATGCTTCAGGACAGTAAGACCAAGATCGACATCATCCGCATGCAAATTCGAAAAGCTGTTCAGGCCACGGAGCATAATGACGACACACAGGGTGAGTTTAAAGGGATATAGACAAATTTAACCACATTGATTGCTCTTCTTTTGTAGTACCTGTGCTTTTTGACCATGGTCTTTTCATTTCCCGAGGTACATTTTAGTGCATTTTTTATATGTCTATAAAGTAGAGAGCCATCAGAGGTTACAATTACACAGTCAGGGCCATAAAGCATCAGTGCACCCATTGCTGATCCAAATCACAGTAAATTGGTCTGTTGGCAGTAAATCAGTGTGGATACAGAAATTAAATCCAACCTGCTCTATTGCATATAAAGCCAGAAAGAGTGTTAAGTTGGCCCGTACTTACATAATCTGTGAACTAAACGATCGCATATTAAATCTTGTGGTCAGCTGGCAGTGACAAGGTGCTTTTAGTCAGGTGTGTTCAATCTCACTATCCCTTTGTGGCATTTGCAGTCTCTTTTTTCTTCTTCTCTGCGTGTAATACGTTTTGTCCTGAGCAGCAGCTCCAGACAGCAGACATGAGAGAGCATAAACAGATCAATGAAGAGCCGACTCTGTTTTCATCTCTCTGCCTGGGAGAAGAAGATGAAGAGGATAGTTGGAGTTGACGCGCTGAAAGCTGTGCGTGCGTGCGTGTGTGTGTCTGTTTATATCGGTGTGGTGGCCAAATAAGGGACAGAAAAGCCTGTGAAATAGCCCACCTGGTATATTAGCACAATCAATTCGATTCACACAAAGACGCACACAAAAAAGCCTACAAAAAATGTGGTGGGCAGATTAAAAGTCTCTTTATTTTCATGTTAACGAGACACATCAGGTGTGCAGCAGTTGCATGGATATAAACACACATACCAAAGTGCAGTTGTAGATACAGTCAAACAAACATTTTTTTTTTTTAACTGTGTGCTTTCTCCCTTTACTGTTGGACATTCATATTATGTGTTGTGGCAGGGCGATCAGTGCCAGGGCAGGTGAACATGCCGCTATAGGGCACTGAGTGCTGTAGACCATTAAGACCCCTCTGCCGGGAAAACAGGCCGACTGATGCCGGTCACGGGAGGTGAATAGTCTGGTAAAATGTACCAGGAGAGCAGAGGGAGAGCGATGGGAGGGGGTGGAAGTAAAAAACAGATTTAAAGACGGTATATTCCCTTTGGGGCTATCTATTCCTTTCTGCTCTTGTCAGACGAGCGCCGATGGCTGTTAAAAGACAGGGTGTCTTTTAAGGGAATGAAGATGATGTCCATTTGGAAGGATTGTTTAAGGGCCTTTTAAGGGCATACTTTATCCATCTGTGTCCTCCATGTGGAAAACCTAAAGGGTTTTTAATGATCTGGAGTTCTTTCCACTGCTCCGACGTGATATAAATAGTCATATAGAGGCTAATGACCACAGTAAGCAGCAGCGTATTTAAAATGTTAGCCCTCTGAAATTGTTTTAAAAGTGAAAATTAAAAGGATGAAAAGCAATGCAGCCAAGCCACAGCTTTGGCAACATAAAAGTATCAGCATATACGAACATCGTTTACAAATACGTACACTCATAGTCCACTTCATTAGGTACATTCGTTTAGCTCATCTAATGAGCCAGTAACATGGCAGCAGATTAATGCATTTAGACATCAAGTTGTGGTCAAAATGAGCTGCTGAAGCTCAAACTGAGCATCTGAATGGGAGAAGAAAGCTGGGTTTACAGAGAATGTTCTGACAAGCAGCAGTTCTCTGGGTGAAAATGTCCTGTTTAGAGGAATATTCAGATTGCTTTGAGCTAGTAGTAAAATAACAGAAACAACCAAGGTATGCAGAAGAGCATTTCTGAATGCTAACCTTGAACCCAGATGGGCTACAGCAGCAGAAGACTACACTGGGTGCCACTCCTGTCAGCTAAGAACAGGAAACTGAGGCTACAGTTCAGGCTACTCACTAAAACTGGACAGCAGCACATGAGAAATCATTGCTTGGTCTCATGATTCAATTTTTGCTGTACATTTACTTGGTAGGGTCAGAATTTGATGTAAGCAACATGAAAGCATGGATCCATCTTTCCTTGAATCATTGGTTAAGGCTGGTGGTGGTGGTGTAATGGTTTGTGGAAGCAGTAGGTGAGTGTATGTGTGTTGGCTGACAAAATAGCATTTAAATATCAGTGGCTGAAATCTGTTGTCATATCAGTTTTACACCAGTTAAATCTTTCTAAAATGTTAGTTTCTTGTCTTCACTGGAATAAAAGGAGGAATAATTAACAACAAAGCAGGCAAAATGTGAAAAAACAGTACACTGTCTCCATTGGCTGTGATCGTAAAGTGTTATTGTAAACATCTGTGTTGGTATTGACCCAGAATCCAACAGTCTGTGCATCTCTAATTGGATTTTCATGCTCTGATACTGAGCACAAAGGGGTGTGTTATACTAGCAGCAGCTAATGGTTCTCCAGCAGAGTTTAAAATGATTTGGCTTTTTCTTAAACTACAATTTCAGCCTGAGCTAATGTTCGTGTTTATCAGACTAAATTGATCAACCACCACACCCCCCCCCCTTTGTATTTCTTCTCTATTTGATTGTCTCTAACAGCAACCACGGCTCTATATTCTCAGGCTCTGATTCTGTCTCTCTTCTTATAAAACACACACACACACCACACACACACACCACACACACACACACACACACACAAACACACACACACACACACACACACACAATATCACAGGGCTGTGTGTATGGTGTACACAGACAGTCTCCAGGCACCACACCCGGTGGAGGGGTCATCTAGCAGAGGTCTGGGCTCCAGGCAGAACACCTTATTAGGAGATAAAAGCACCCACTTCGTTCTCCACCCCTACCTCCCTCCTGTCCTTGCTTTCTCTTCTGTCTCCTGCAGTTATTTGAGCAGCTCAGAATTGTAAAAACCATCCATCCTGGTCTTCTGTCCTTCTTCTAAACCAATCTGGTGTTTGAAAGTCAAATGCATCATCTTTGAATGCCATTTGTCCAATTGTCCTTTTCCTTATCACGCTCACACACCTCCTTCCGGCTCTTCCCATATCTGAGTGCTCTCAGTTTGTTGCCCATCATTTGAAGGCTGTATTGGTGCCATTAAGCTAAGCACTTTGCTCTAATTTGTGCTGTAGGGTGCTGCTCTTATGCTGATTCTCATATCTGGTCTTTTAAGTGAGGGAGCTTGAGTATGTTTTTAGATTTTGAGTTGAAAGCACTGCATCTCATTATAAGACTTTCTGTTTCCCACTAATGTACATTTATGAGGTACTATATTTCTGAGAAAAGCAGAGATGAAGCTACACATTTAGAGCAGTGTTTTTGCTTTAGTCTTGCTAGCTGTTTTAAAAATGTAAATAGGTGAGAGACTTATTTTGTTTGGTTGCTCTGTTTGCTTTTAGAGCAGGGATATGGGGCTATTTGGAAGGAGAGGCTGGAATTATGCTAAGCACTGCTTGCTGGGGAACAGTCAGAGGCTGCTTACCTCCCTCTAGGCCTCGCTAATGTTTTCTTTGTTCGCCTCTTGTGTAATGCATGACAGGCATTAAGGCATTAACCTAACTTAGTATGCCCAGGGGAGTTCCCTGTAACACACCATTGGCAAAACAGGAAAGCCTTAACGTAGCTGCCACGCGCGCAGCACAGAGACTGCGTAGGAGATTGCCATCGTGTCTGCTGTGCAGTAATGTTGTTTGCTCCTTTCCTTCACGCAGGTAACCAAGACGTGTGCGGGATGGAGCTGCGTATCGAAGAGCTGAGACATCACTACAGGGTGGAGCATGCTGTTGCTGAGGGGGCCAAAAACGTCCTCAGGCTCCTGGGGGCCAGCAAAGTTCAGGACAAGAAAGCTCTGTCTGAGGTTAGAGCGGATCCTGCTGATGTTTCGCTTTCACACACTTCAAAGCGCACACAGACACGTGTGAGACGGCAGCTGTACCGATGACATCATTCTGACACACACCTGTAGATCTTCTTCAGATCTGCTCCTTTTGTTTTCCGCTATCTCTTACTTCTGAGACTTCAGCTATCTTTGGCTTTGCCTTAGATCCTTCACAAAAATTTGATCTCTTATCAACAGTTTTTTTGTTTGTTTGTTTGTTCACCAACATTATGGCATCTTGAGTTGTCTGGGTTTCTCGTTATACGTCGAGGAAACTCAGAGCAGGAGTGTCCCGTGATGTCAGATCCCTCGCAGAATAGTTTCAGCTGCTGAACTCTGCAATCTGTTCATAAAAATATTTGAGAGAGAGCCTCACAACAGCAGCTGCCGCGTAACGTGCTGCATTTTACCCCCACAGTGACAATGAACCACTTGTTTTCTCACCACATGCCGTGAGAGTTCTGCCGTTTGAATCCTCACTCGCACGCCTTTACTTACTCTATAAATGAACATAAAAACTCGCTCAAGCCTAACATTGTCTTTCTGCATGCACTTAAAAGCAGCAGGTCACAAAAAATGTGATTAAATTAAGGTGTGCTACTGTGATATGTGTGCACTGAGAAGTAGCATAGGACTTCTTGTTTTTTTATGTCTGTCTGAGAGTTTACAAGGTAGATATCGTCTGTTTCGATGCTCTGCAGGCACAGTCTCGTCTGAGCGAGGCTTCCCAGCGTTTGGACCTGCTGAGAGATTCTCTTGACCAACGCCTGGCAGAGCTGCCAGAGGACCATCCAAAGGCCAGCATCATCAAAGAGGAGCTGGTCTTGGCCTCCTCACCTGCCTTCAGCTCCCGCCACGGCGCCCCCTACCTTCAAAACCAGTATACTACCCTCAGCAAGCCATCGCCTCTCACTGGTATGTCATACAGGCTCAGGAGAAGCCTACAATATGAAGAAGAAGGTACAGAAGCGAGGAATGCATTCAGGTTGTGCCTACATTGTTTTCCTCTGTCTTCAGGTACATTACAAGTGCAGCTGCTGGGCTGTGTTGGGTTACTAGAGGTGGTCCCAGGGCGCAATAAAGGGACACCTCTCATGCTGCCCTGCTACAGCCCCGGAGACACGCGGTCCTTCATGAGGGGCAGCAAGGGGCTCTACGGACGCAGTGGCTCCGTCAGCGGGAAGACGCCAAGCAAGACAGAGGAGCTCTCCTGTGAGTGACTGTATGAGTGTGCACGTGGTGCATTTAAGGTTTTCATTTCAGCTTTTTATGTCTTCTTTGTTGGCTGTATTGGCTTTTTTTCCCCTCAACTTTGTCGTGGGTCCCTTTAGGCTCATCAGGTTGGATATTATTTGTCAGGTCATGACAGATGCTTTAACCTCCTAAGACCTGAACTCCTCCACAACATGCATTTTAATTTCTCTTTGATATTTGGGCATATTGGGACCCGATGAAAGTAAAAACAAAGAATTACCAGATTTTTTCTTTTTTACCTTATTTTTGTTTTTAAGAAAAATGAGATTCACATATGAGGATATTTGTTTAAAATTTTGATAGAACAGTTGCCGTAAAATGTCCTCGTAAGTGGATATCAGGCCCATGTAGAGCAAAATTGAGTATTTTGGTCTAAATAACCCAAAATATGATGTCCACATATGTGGACGCCAGGTCCTAGGAGGTTAAAGGCAGTTTGCAAACAGCTTTTTGTAAGGTCTTAGTCCTTTTTTCCATATCTCAAAGGAACTTATTGGTCGGCATTAATTTTTTAAAATTATTTTGTTCCTTTTTTCGATTCATTAATGAAGGAAATCATTGGTTTGCGTGTGTGTTTAGCTGAGGTGAGTGCGGTGCTGAAGCTGGATAACACAGTGGTGGGTCAGACTGCTTGGAAGACTGTGGGAGAGCAGGCCTGGGACCAGACGTTCACTGTGGAGCTTGAAAGGGTCAGTATCCAATCTCCTTCCCACAAACTTGCACGCAGGCACCAAAGAGTTTATTTAAGGCAGCTTTTCTCTCTGTTGATACCGCTGGGTGCCTGCGCTTCAGTCGAGGGAGATGGAGATCGCAGTTTACTGGAAGGACTACCGCTCGCTGTGCGCTCTTAAGTACCTGAAGCTGGAGGAGTTCCTGGACAACCAGAAGCACAGAGTTCAGCTGGAGCTGGAGCCTCAGGGCCTGCTGCTGGCTGAGGTACACACATACCACACACCTGCAAAAAAGAAACAGCGAAATGAATGGCGAATCACTCGTACTCAAACACACACTCAGATGTGCGCGCCCACCCGTGAGCTGCCACATGCACCTGTGCTGGAAAGCGTTGCTTTGATACGTCACACTTGAAAGGCTGTTTCTGAGCGTAAAAATAAAATATGGGTGGGTTTTTTTTGGTCGTTTCTTTTCATGTTTTGTTTTGTGTGTTTTCCAGGTGACCTTCTTTAACCCGGTTATTGAGAGAGTCCCGCGCCTGCGGAGGCAGAAGAAAGTCTTTTCTAAGCAACAAGGTGTGGAGCAGACAGAGCAGCGAAGAAACATTACACATTTTCTATTTCTCTTCCATTTTCTACTCAGCAGCCTGACGGCAGTTTTATATGGAGAAACAGTAAAACTTTAAAAAACAGGAAGATGGACACTACCTGCAGTAAAACATACAACTGCTTATGCCATCAGTTCCCTGTTTTTTTTATTTAGACCACAGCACCCTCTAGTGGTGACTATTATTTTTTTACCTTCATTTCTATAGGAAAGCAAACAGAATATAAAAACTTGAGCCAAACTCTGTGAAGGCGTTTTTTTGTCTTATAAAAATATAAACGTGTCTTATAAAAAATATTTTTTTATGATTCTGTAATTGTTAATCTGCCAGTATGTGAAAACTCTTAAATTAAAATTATGTTTTTAATGCTGAAATATTATTTCTGTTCTCATCTATGAAATTTCCATTTTTAATTTTAACATTTTTTATTAAGATGCTAAATATCAGCATTCATGAACAGAAAAAAAATAGTTTTAGTGGCTGAATGTTATGTTTGATTAATTTCTGACTCTGACTAGACGTGTGTGTTTGTGCATTTTTCAGGCAAGGCGTTCCTCCGGGCTCGTCAGATGAACGTGGATATCGGAACGTGGGTGAGGCTGCTTCGAAACGCCATCCCCACCGTCAACAACTCAGGAACCTACAGTCCCAACGCACAAAGCCTCACACTCAACTCTGGGTGAGACGCATTGAGATATGTACACGCAGGTGCACACGCTTCGGTCTTTCATCGGCAGTGACGTTTGATAACCGTCAGTCAGACTTTGCTATCAAACGTAGCAGCTTTCCTTGAACCTTTTTTCCTTTTGTTTCCAGACAAAGAATAAAGCAAACGGTGCCTTCCCAGCCCCGTGTCTAACTACCCTTCTGTGTTGTTCTGTCTGTTTGTCTGTGTTACACGTTGGTCTATTTGTGTGTGTGTGTGTGTGTATTTGTTGGTCTTTCAGGGAGATCTCAGTGGAAAAGTTGAGTCTGGACAGCGACTCTCCAATAAGAGGCGATTACAAGAGAGACATGGACATTAACACTCCAGTGAGACCGATGGAGCGAGAGGAAACCCGGGAGTTAGGGGAGGTGTGTGATGAGGGACGGGGCTTTCCTAACTAAAAAAGAAACTAAAAGTTCGAATTGGCAGGGAAAGAAAGGCGTAACAGCATCAAATACAAGTAGTTTTAAGTAATGCAGTTTAAGTAATTTTTAAAAATGTATACATTCTGGGTAAGTTTCGATGAAAGGAGGCAAGTATCAGAGAAAAAATTACAAATAAATAAAATCAAATATTTCCCCATCTTACATTGTAAGCACACTGTACTTTTCAGGGCTTGGGATGTGTTATAGTGCCTTAACCTTGTCTAACTCCCAGGTAGCTTGCAGGAGCGCAAACACTCCTTTTTTGAACACTGATTGTGAAAGAAAAAATAATTATGTTAGACTTGGCTCCATCATTATAAAGTCACATAAGCCTGCAAATCATTTTAATGACAGGAGATTTAGTTATTAAGTTAATATAATTTTAGGCATTTAACATTTAAATAATGGTCATGTGACATATGAGTCTGATTTACAATAAAATGACTGAAAGAGGAAGAGTTTACGGTATGAGTAAATACTGCAAATATTGCTGCTTTACGTCAGCTCTCCTTCTGATGTGAACAGAGACGTAAAATCGACCCACTCTCTGCTCTGTTACGGTGTCCTTCCTGTTAGCAGCACAGCCACACCTGGATGTAAAGGACTGTGGTCGACCTGGTATTTGCGGGGTTTAAAGATTTAAAATCCAGCGCAGGGTCAGTAACCATCAGCTCCAGACTGCGTCTCCTGTCTTCCATTTCATGTCGTTTTATAATCTCTGTCTCTGCACGTCTGTTCCTTTTTTGTCTCTTCCCTCGCATGTCCTCCGATAGGACCAACATCTAGTCATCGATCCCCTCTCCCCCCGAGGCCTCGCCCCTGAGTCCCCTGTCCGAACCCATTCAGTTAGCAGGTACACGCACGCACACTCACCGAAACACTTTTACTTCTTTGTTTTCTAAAATGGATTTGTTTGGATTTTAATGATAAATGATGATATATAATAATGAGGATGAAGTTTATCAGACAAAAAAACATTTTGAAATGTGGCAGTAGGAAAAGCACAGGTGGAAATAAAACCAGCCATCATCTGTTTTATGCCGTTTATCCGGGGCTCGGTTGTGAGGGCAGAGAAGCCCAGACCTCTCTCCCCCCAGCCTCCCAGGCCAGCCAAGAGACAATCTCTCCAGCGTATCCTGCGTTTATCACAGGGCCTCCTCCGGTTAGGAAACGTACAGAGGTCGTTTGAGCTGTTTTGGTCTTTCAGTGGATTTGAATTCTGATTACTTTGTCTAAAACACCCAACCAACGACACCTAAATTTTCTAACTGACTTTCTACATCACAATTACTTGTGAATTGTGAAAGATCACGAGCCGGATGAGCAGCTGCATCTTTGACTTTCTGGTTAAATCTCACGTCCAAGCCAGAATGTTTCTGGGCTTGAGCCTTTAGACCATACAGGCCTTTTTATGTACAGGTTAATTATGAATTGCTCAATATTTGAATGCAAGTGTGAATGAATGACCCTGACTCTTACCTACCATCTGCTGGTGTTCGCCTCAGCCTCCCTACAACCCTCCAAGCATAAAGGCCTGAAGCTTATGGATGGAGGAAACCCACTACATGTGTTCTGTTTTTTTCCCTGATGTCCTCAAAGCGACATCAGCATGGCGACAGGCTGAGCATTTTTTCTGTGCTCATCGCTACACATCTGTCTTTTTTCTGGTTTTAAGAGAGTTACAAATGTAACCTGCTGCATGCACCACTGTCACTTTTTACCCAGCTGTCTAAGCACAGTGGAAGTGGGAGAAACGCTACAGCAAACCTCTGTCACAAGTTTTAAGTGCTGCTGTCCAAGTGTGCACACGTGCAAGTGTGCGTATTAACATTAAAATAATACTACGAGGAATATTTGGTTTCCTGTGCGTGTGTGAGTAAAAGCAGCAGTCAGACAGAGAGTCAGGTACCTGCAGCAGATTACGTCTGTGTACTTTCTGTATCATAGCAACCAAACACTCACCTCCAAAGCCTTTCAAGCACTCTCAAGCGCTCCCAGCTGGGCGTTTTCAGGAGAGCAGCTGCTGCGTTATTAGCTGTCAAAAATCATAAAAAATAAAACAGAATCATTGATGTTTTTGATAAATCCTGCGCTTTTCCTCCTGTTGCAACTGCTCCCCATTATTACATGTATGTATTAATGTATTATTCAGCTTGCATTATCCACACGTACACAGTCCTTATATGTGTGTCATGTAATATCAGCAGTTGTTACTTTTTGGTGTCTAGTTTAAATGTTCTTCCTCACCGTGCCTGTTGGTTTCTCCAGCAAGCAGAAGAAAGGTCCGCTGTCCCTCCAGGACTTCAGGCTCATTGCTGTTTTGGGTCGTGGACACTTTGGGAAGGTACGATTTCTTTCTAATCCAGAAAAAAAAAAAACTGGAACAACCAAACCAATTAATAACAACACAAAGAGCAAGAGTCTTTTTCTTATTATTCCCTCAAATATACTGAAGGTCACAACAGCAAAAAAGTCCCAGATTAACAGCTTCTCTGTTTGTGGATTCTCACAATGTGACTGTCACAACTACAATCAGGCAAACAAAAATAAAAGACAGTTTGTAAAAAAGAAAGCTTGTTTTCCTTATGCTGTTAGGTGCACATGAAGGCCACATTTTAAGTATTGGTGACTGCAGGGGAAAAAAGAAACCATATCACACGTGGATCCACTGAGAAGTTTTAAAAGCTCTAATAAAAGAAGATTTTTTTAAACAATGCTTTATATGTGTTAGAGTTAATCAGAGTGTGTCTATGTGTCTACAGGTGTTATTGTCCGAGTACAAGAAGACCGGCACGATGTATGCCATCAAAGCCCTGAAAAAAGGAGATATCGTTGCTCGGGATGAGGTGGATAGGTGTGTGCTGATGTTTATTCCTCAGCCCTGTGCTTGTGTGATGTGTGGTTGTTGTTTTTAGCCCAGAGATTAAGCGCTCCAGTAGTAGATTTACTCACAGGATTTAATTTGTGTCTTGAATCACTGTGATTACAGTTCATCTGTGGGCTGAGTGTGGGTTTTCTCATAGGCTAAAATAAACACTATCTAATTATGTTTAAATGGCCCTCTAATCTTTTTTTTTCTCTCCTCCTCTTGCCTCTTCTTCCACTCTTTCCTTCTCTCCTTCCTCCCCTAGTCTGATGTGCGAGAAGCGCATCTTTGAGATCGTCAACATGTCGCACCATCCCTTCCTGATCAACCTGTTTGCGTGCTTCCAGACACCAGAGCACGTGTGTTTTGTTATGGAGTACACAGCAGGAGGCGACCTGATGATGCACATCCACACAGACGTCTTCACAGAGCCACGGGCCGTGTACGTAATAAATGGATTATCCTTGAAGTATTTCCATGCAAATTTTAGGCTTTCCCAGAGATTAGTCCTGATGAATTTAGTCAACCTCAGGGATCAGTTATAAACACTCATTTTATGTAGTAATCGCCCATATGTACATTAAAAAACAGAGATTGTAAACAGATCCCTTCTTAAAACATCAGTTACATTAACGACAATCCGTCAAGCACGATATCTCGACCTTCACCTCAGAGTGGGAGTCGATACTGTTAAATACACCAGTGTTTTTTCCCACTTCAGCTTTTCAAAACGTCCCTTATGAAAGCGATTTTTAGTAATGGTGGACCAAATCCACATCCTGATGTGAGGATTGGTTCCACAGTTGAGCCTTATGTTCCTTCACCGCACCTTACAAGGATGTACTGTCCAAGAAAAATGCGTTGCTAAATTTTAAAGGCAAAGTTAGTAAAATGTCACCACTAGATGTCAGTAGATTCCAGATTGTGGCCAACTGAATTCTGTTCCCAATTCCAGTGTGTAATTCTAGCTATGGTAGCAGCTAGAGGGCAAACAAATCAGGGCGCTGTTCATCTGTAGTGAGTGTAGGCTGTCAGTCCACTGTTTACCTCAGCTTTCAATATGTGTGCACTTGTATTTACTCTGGAGGAGGCTGTAAAATTTTGTGGAAAGAGTCCAATCGATACGTTGATGAGACGGTGAAGCGATACTGAACTGAGTTGTTGAGGATATCCTGAACTTTTTTGACATTAACAGCTGCTTTTGTCACTGTTAGCCAGTATTACTGACATTTTCTTTGAAGTGGATCTAACTTTGTCCAACTCTGATACAGTATGAGAATGTAGTCGAACTGTTTATCAAAGAGAAAGCGTGATTTTTTTTTTTTTAGACATTTGAGCCTAACATTAGCCGGAATAACGTTAGCTTATGCCAACTGTTGTTGTTGTTTAGCCAGAGATAGAAGGGTCGCATATATGTAATCTGTTGACAATAACTAACTGTGACAAAGTTGAGAGCAAAAAGCATCTTTGTGCACGTCTTCATGTGTTAGAGCCCTGATTTAAGCTCAGGACATGAGACTTCAGGTGAGGAGGAAGTAAGGGCGGAGAGAGGGCAGTTGTAATGAAAAGAAATTATGAAAAGGAGAAAAAAATTAAAGAGAGGTGAAAAACATATACATGTACAAATATTAAAGGGTCATATTTAGTGTGAAATAGCCGTCTGCGATCTTTAAATTCAAAGTAACTTATGTACCGTGTATGTGGCACGTCTCTTGGCACATAAGCCATACTTACACAAGACATACTAAGATGATTTACAGGTACAATACACAATCTGTACCTTTTCTAAATATTCTTAATTACTTAAACATCTTCCAGTACCCTGCTCTGTTTGCACACTACAACCTGGGTTTGCCATTTTTATCTGTACTTTACTCTTAATAACTGTACAGTACTCTGTTTTTGTAACTTTTGTCCATAATGTAAATATGTTTGTGTGCGTTTCTGTTCTGTGTCCTGTTCTGTTTGTATGTGTGCGTTGTTTTTGCTGCTGTTACAACCAATTTTCCCTTGTGGGACAATTAAAGGATTATTGTATTCTTTTCTATTCTATGATTTGTGCATGTGCGCTGCTGAGCATTAGGACAGATGTGAAAACCTTTTAGAGATGCGCTGTATTAGACTGAATGTTTTAAAGGCCTTCCATCCTCCAGAAATCTGTTGAAGTTATGTTTGTTTATTTGTTAGATTTCTGCACAAGTTGAATTTATCCTGGGATTATCATGAGGTCACCAAACTCTCATCAGTGAAGAGAAATGAGGGAGACGCCACAGCATAAGCACACCCACACAGTCTAAAAAGATCCGCTGAAATAAGTGAAGCCATCTGTATGAGGTTTACAGTGGGTGTGCAGGGTCTTTTAAAGACATAATGCCAGAAAACCCTCAGCACTATTACTGCTGTCCCCATACCGAGGAGTTCAACAGCTGGGGAGCAGCTGTTTGTCAGGCCTCAGACAGCAGATTTGGTTACAGTGGCTAGTGGTCTGAAAGCAGTATGTCTGTTATTATTATGAAGTTCCCATTTTATCGCGTCTAACTGGAGGTTGATTTTCTCTGCTTTTGGCTTCAGGTTTTACGCAGCCTGTGTGGTTCTCGGACTTCAGTTCCTCCACGACCATAAGATTGTGTACAGGTGAGTCGAGCCCACGCAAACCTCTTAACTGATGTAAAACGGAGCTTTCTTTCACCTCAGGAAGCATCAGACTAATAGAAACGTCAAAGATCGATGTTAAATCGAGCTCTTAATTTCTAAACATTTCTGCCAGCATAGGTTGAAATGTCAGTCTAAGTTTTGCAGTTCAGTTAGAGGACCCAGATACAGCAAATAGGAGCTTCAACAGTGGGAGGTTTATTTTATGAAACTTTACACACTTTGCCTCATTATGGGGCAGGAAAATCCCAAAAGTTAAATAATCCAAAAGAAACCAGAGCAAGGTAAACAGACAGTCTGACAAAGGAAAGAGTGTTTATACACTTGGTGTGACTGACAATGAGCAGGAAACCAAAAACCCCAGAGACACACAAAGGCTGAAACACTTTCAAAATAAAGGCGCAAACAAGGAATAACACAAAACCCGAAGCTGAAAAAATATCAGGTACCACATGCTGGATCATTCAGGGCATCCAGAAGCTGTAGGATTCATCCCCGGGGTACTGAGTGTCGCACCATGAGGCTGACGTTTGCTGTGAGCATTATTGTACAGGCTCAGTTTAGTACAGTCTGCTGGGATTACAGTCAGTTCACAGAGAGAGTTTGTATCTAAATGCTGTACAAAGATACTGATTCTCACCTGCATGTTTTCTCCCTTTCAGAGATCTCAAGCTCGACAACCTGCTGCTAGACACAGATGGTTATGTGAAGATCGCTGACTTTGGACTCTGCAAAGAAGGTGGATCTGTGTATTACTGACAGACGGTCTTTTATTTGTCTTTGCCTTTGCTTCGGGATACAAATTTACTTACAACCGGAAAACAGCGTGATGTTTTTATTCTGTCAGGGAGCCTGAAAAGCAGGTCAACCGAACCCTGCCTTGAGCTCAGAAACACCATAGGTGACCTATTAGCTTCTCCATATTATTCAACATCTGTTTGTATGGTTACAATGAAGGGTGCCCATATTAAACATGGCCTCAATATCAAATAATAAGGTCAGCATATGAAAAAGCTGCTGTTGCCCAAGCCTTTGTTACAAGGGGTCACCACAGCAGGTATCTCCACATCCCCAATCACGAGAAAGTTGAGGCTGAGGCTGATGGGCTGCAAAAAAAGCCTCTGTGTAAGATAAATAACCCTCATTTTGAACTGTGAATCATGGAAAATGTCTCCAGTAAAGCAGTTGGAAATTGGCGTAATAGCTCCACCCGATTCTGAAATTTAAACAGATGTCGGAATATGAGTGATTAAACAGTACAGAGTGGCAGGTTTTCATCATCTGAAGTTCAGGTAAATTAAGAAGTGATTTTGTTTCTCTTTTAGCTTTCAGAGATCATTTTTTCGTTTTTTTTTTTCTGCAGGAATGGGTTTTGGTGACCGGACCAGCACCTTCTGTGGGACTCCGGAGTTTTTAGCCCCCGAGGTCCTGACAGACACGTCTTACACCAGAGCTGTAGACTGGTGGGGCCTGGGGGTCCTCATCTATGAAATGCTGGTGGGAGAGGTAAGAGCTAGCACTCTGTCGCTGGTCATGGAGTTATTATAGCCACGTGTTAGTTTGATCTGGTGCCGATTAATTACTCGTGTTCGCTGTAGTTAAATGCTGATTTTGTTTTAAATGACAGAATATCAAAAGTGGATTCAGTGAAGTGTGCTTTTGTGTGACCGGTGTATTTTTTTGTAGTCTCCTTTCCCAGGGGATGATGAAGAGGAGGTGTTTGACAGCATTGTGAATGATGAAGTCCGCTACCCACGCTTCCTCTCCACTGAGGCTATTGGCATCATGAGGAGGGTAAAGCAAAAACACACACACACATTCGCTCGCTCATGCACACAAACTGTATGTGACAAATGCTGCACTTACACGTGAAACACTGAATCAGTCCGACATCCTCACGTACTCACAGTCAGACAGTTGATGCTTCACTGTTATAGCCACTCGTCATTTCCTATTCTCGTGTGTCTGTGTGCAGCTGTTAAGGAGGAACCCAGAGAGAAGGTTGGGATCTGGTGAGAAGGATGCAGAGGAGGTGAAGAAGCAGCCATTTTTCAGAGTAAGTAGACTTAAAGGTACCTAGGCAACTTGTTGGGGGTGAGAACGCAAGATGGAGATTCGTTAGCAAACACTGAGAGGTGGAAGAGGTTTTTCTCGTGTGTTTACAGCCAGACTGTTATGGTGGTTGTTTCGAAGCCCTTTGAATTGCAGCTTTAATTGCTCTTATTCTTGTCCGTCTCTCCCTCCAGAGCATGGACTGGGAGGCGCTGCTGCAGAAGAAGTTGCCCCCTCCCTTCGTCCCGTCCATCGGCGGCAAAGAAGACGTCAGTAACTTTGACGAGGAGTTCACCACGGAACCTCCGACGCTCACGCCTCCACGTGAGCCCCGTGCGCTCTCCCGCAAAGACCAGGACAGTTTCCGGGACTTTGACTACGTCTCTGACCTCTGCTAGTGGACCCGAAGCCAACAGATCTCGAGGAACGTTGGATTTCGACGACTTCGTGACAGTTTCAGCCAGAGCACAGAGATATGTCTCAAGCTGACTGTCCGTGCTCGTCTGTCGCTTCTTGTTACACTGTGAATGAATGAAACTGAAGACGAAGAGACTGTGTTTTGTGTGTCTGCAGAGTTTTAAAGAGCATGGACTGAGCAAATGAAAGCCTGGACAGAAATTAGTTGGGGTTATAATGGTTTATCACAAACAAAGGCCCCCCTTTCCAGTCATTGTACGAAACTGCAGTGGGTTTTGTATCTTGCAGACTTTCGTCTTAGTCGTCTTAGACGTCTTAGACGTCTCGGCAGTCGCCAGTGCAGCTGTGAGAGGAGGAGCTTGCTGTATTTTTGTACTTTTGACTGTTTAGGGGTTGCTCAGTGGCCTCTCATACCAATGCCTTACATTTATACTTGTATTTGTTCCACAGAAAAAAAGCATTTTGTTTTACTTTGTGGCCCTTTGTGTACAGCAGCAGGGCGAGGAGGGATACAGTGTGCTGCAGAAACTCCTCTATGTTTTTGGAAGAGAAAAAAAAGACACTCAGAGCTGATACCCATCAGTCTTTTGACTGCTTTTAGGTGTATTATTAGTTAACTAATGGGTAAAGAACCACTGTCCTGCTTCGCTGCAGTGGACCTTCCTTTGGATGTCCACCAACTACTTTTTAAACTTGGGTTGCTCGGATTTTACAAGAGCAGTTGACTCGTCCTTTTTAGTTGAATGTTTGGGTTTTAGGAAGAATTTGATATAAATGTGTAGCACACACACACACACACACACACACACACATAACCGTCAGCATAAAAGCTTTGAGGAAAACATTTATTATTCCAAAAGCAAAAATCTGAACACTAAACTGTGATGTACAAGTAATAAACTGCTCTTTATGGGTTTGGAGACACGTTCATCCAGTCACCTGAGTGCTACCAGAGTTTTGTGAACATGAAGTAAGTGATTTCCCTCCGAGGCGATTAAATCTTTAACCTCACTGGCTGTAAAAGTTGTTTTAGTGTCTGTTTTCGGCGCTTAAGCCCTGACAGGTTACGCTCTGGCTGCTGCGGTCGCTGTGGCGGTTTCCGAAACTTGTTGATGTCTAAGTACTTGTGGAAACTCTGCGGGGCGCCATAAGCAAAACAAACATGAGCTGCTTTTCCACAGTAGAGCCAATTAGAGAGGCGAGAGCTGGCGTAGACCTCTGGTAATACCTTTGATGATATCTGTAGGAAAACCATGAGCCAACAGTGAAAACCTGTGTAACACACAAGAGCAGTGGTTTGTTGTTAAGATGTATGTGCGGTGGTGTGGATTTTACCTGTCTTGTGTACAACAGTACAGAACCATGTGAGTATGAGATGACATATTTTATAAAGAAAACCGTGAGTGAATGTGTGTTTATTCTCATCACGGGACGGGGGAAAGGGGCATCTCAAATTCATTTAAATAAAAATAACACAGTAATGTACAGATGGATGCACGTTTAATTTAGTATTTGTGAATGAATGGAGCAGGATGCACATGGCTACTCACCTGCTGCAGTGATTGAATAAATACTCACCGGCCACTTTATTAGATACGCCTGTTTTACTGCTCATTAACTCAAACATCTAATCAGCCAATCACATGGCAGCAACTACGTGCACTTATGCACCTCTAGACCTCTAGAAGCAGAACGTGCACATCCGTCACTGCAATTTAGAGAATAGTCCAAAAAAGAGGAAATATACAGTGATTTGGCGGTTTTCTGAGTGAAAATGTCTTATTGATGTAAGAGGAGTGAGGTCAGGAAAAAAAGAACCACTTGCTAAATACAAAGTATGTAGAAGAGCATGTCTAAACGTGCAACGTGTTGAACATTAAAGCAGATGGGCTACAGCAGCAGAAGACCACTATGGCTATACGAGCTGAAGTCAGCATGAAAGCATGGGTCCATCCTGACTGTTATCAGTGGTTCAGGCTACTGCTGGTGTAATGCTGTGGATTACATTTTAAGACAGTTCTCAAATGGTATTAGCAAGGTGTACCCAATAAAATGGCTGGTGAGCGTATACAGCCCATTATCACAGATTCTGTATCAACATTTTTCAGTACATTCATTCAAACCTGCCAGAGCAGGACTAAAATGAAATTAGAGGATAAGTAGTTTATTCTCCTGATGGACAAAGTCAAATTATGTCATTTCTTCTTCTCGTGATATTCCATCAGAGAAAAATGCATCAAAAATGTGACTGTAGTGAGCATCTGTTTTAATATGTGAGTCAAAATTTTAGAAGAAAAAAGACTCCTCGTGGCAGTTTTAACCATATCACAGGACTTCAAACAAGACTAGTGAGCAAATCACTTTAACTGGATTCACTGTATTTGCACCAACTCCTGGAGTCTCCCTGACTTTTGACCAACTGCTGAAGAAGAAAGCATCACCAATGGAAAAACATCAGAACTGGTCCTTAATGGTCGACCTTTCGTGGAAACACGAGTGCCTGGATCCGCAATGATAAGTGCTGATCTGCATCTTATCCTCATGTACTCTCAGCACCATGTAAACAGTAAATTCCAGTAATAATAAATAAATCATTTCACTTCAAATTATCTCAGTAAATGTCCACTACCTGCAGGGAAATTTACCAGATAGAGTTATTTTAACATGTGTGGAACCTTATTGTGTGATTTTTATATCTAAGATACTCTAAACACTTTATATTAGATTGGATTGATGTTCATTTCATGCATAGAGGGGTGGAAGTACTGAAAACAACTGCTGTAACAATAAGGATGTTGTACATACTATAAACTCCTAGTGTAATCTACCTGTTCAGCAGCATTCGACTCGAACCCGGTCTAGTCTCACTACCAGTTTCAAACCTTCCCTCTCAGTCTTGCTGCTACAAATTATACTGAAATTAACACCTAAACGTGCATTTTGTGCAAGTCCTAAAATGCAAACAAACTCTGATTTCTGCTTGCTGCCCAGTAACTGTTTTTTTTTCCAATCCTGAAAATGGGTAATTAATTGGTAATTGCTACCAAGAATATTTGTTTTTAGCAGTATTAGGGTATAAATTATGATTTTCTTTAGGTGGGCACCAAAAATCTATGGGGGAAAAAGAATGAGTGTGGCAGTGGGTCTTTAGGACACACGTGTTACTGCAGCGTGTGTGTGCGCGCGCGCGTGTGTTGTGTGTATATGTGTGTGTCAGTCAGTCAGTCAGTCAGTGTGCTGCTGGCCTGCCTGCCAGAGAGGGGAGTCGAGAGCTCTGCTGGGAACTACATGGTGCTCAATTTTTCAAGATGTCGTCGCTGGAACAGAGGCTGTCGCGAATCGAAGAGAAACTAAAGCAGGAGAATGAAGAAGCTCGCCGGAGAATCGACCTTAACATCGACATGAGTCCACAGCGGTCACGACCGAGGCCGAGTGAGTGTCCACTGGGGAGGACCGGGGTGTCGGTAACGGCCAGAATAGCAGGGGGAAAGATCGGAGCTGCGGGGCCGGAGAGCGGGGGGAGAGGAGAGGAGCGGAGTGAAGGAGTCGGGGCTGTTATGCTGCTGCTACCTTCATGCTAACAGGCTAGCTACATAAACAAACACAGACTCAGGCTGGCCCGCTTATTTTATTGCCAAATTAATAATTAAATAAGTGGGACATTTTATGTAGTGAGTAACGTAAAGGAAAAGTATACAAACCGAAGCGATGTTACGAAACGTCTTGCCGGTAGACGTGTCCCTGAATCTGTTTTGATTGTCCTGTCAAACATGCTAAGCTAGCAGGCTAGCAGACGCTCTGATAGTCTGTGGCGGGGCCCAGCGTCAGAAAATGTAATGCAGTTTCAGTTTGCGCATGAAAAGCTGTGGTCCTGCCAGTCAGCCGCAGAGCATCTATACACTCTGAAAACCTGCAAGCGGTACATTTGACCGTGATTTTTGCCATAGACTTTGTTTTAGTTGCCATTTTGATCTTGACGAAACATGCTAATTTGAGCAGGCTAAATAACGCTAGCTCTGGATGCGTTAACTTAACGTAGGTTACGGCTTGGCTGTTGTGGCAAACACTGGTGCGACGTAACAAATCTTGTGAAAATTGAGATTTGTCGCACATATATTGAATGAAGCGTTCCACGGGTGTTAGTGGACAAAAACTCTGTGTCACAGGAGCTGGTGTTAGCAGTGATGTTGGGGCCCTTTCGGGCGAAAAGTCAAGCAGCAGGGAGGTCTGCAGCCTGCCTCTGCTGTGGTTTACACACCAAAGCTCTTCATTATCTTTACATTCTTACCAGCAGACTTTCAAAGTGTTAGCAATCTGAACCCCATTTTTTTCTGCAGATCTTGTTGTCCGTTCATTAGGTTCGAGACCACAAACCTTTTTCCTCCTGTTATTTGAATTGTTTGTTATGAAGCTGATTATGTTGTCACAAAGAGAGTGAATGGGTTAAATCCGAAGTTTTTTCTTATTGTTGAAATCTCATTTGAAGTCTACAACCTCCTAAAAATCTGCTCCCGTGGATTCAAATCCTGGTGATAAAGGTCATTTCTGCGAGATTAGAGCTTGATTTATTGCCAACAAAGGTGCAAAATTGGCTTTTTTTCCACCTTGTGTTATTACATGAAAAGTCTGATTGACTCCATTAGAATCACTTGTTTTTAACTTTGGCGTCATTAATGTCTAATGAAGCCATCATGACACTTTTCCAACAGGACAGGCCCTCTGTGCTTTTTGATCCACCTTATTTTCTTGATAGCGTCACAAATGCAGGCAATGGTCACATAAAAATTGACTGAATAACAACAATAACTGTTTAAAAACTACAACAAGATAAGTTTTATCCCCACTCTGTACTGACTGGAGATAAAATGTTCTTTTCTACAGAATTAGGATGCACCAGTCTAATATCTGGACAAAATATCGAAATATGATTCCTCCAGTGTTTAAATACTGCAGTTTTCCAGTTTAGGCGAAAATTGTGAAATCACCCACCAATGTGTACTTAAGGGCCCGTACCTCAGAGTATTTACTGAATGACGGTCAAATTTTGCATGGTTTCAGTAAATACACTAAAGTTACTGTATAAGGACAAAAAACAGCTGATTGATGGAGCTTTTTTCAGATTTGACTGGTTTCATATGAAGTGACACAGTAAGCTACTGACCCACTTTTTCTTGAACCTTCAATACGTGGCCTTATTTTAAATCCTGGGAAAAGAGTGCCAAAGAAAATATAAGAAACACTATGATTCATTAATAGTCTTCATGAGATTAATAGACAATAAGAAAAAGTTCAATTTAAGTTTAAACCACTCAAGTTATGTTGTGAAGAAATGAGCGAGTGACGTGTGTGTGTGGTGAGGTTTTTTTGTTTGTTTTTGAGGGATTTTTATGATTTGTGTGTGTGCAAAAGATGTGCGATTGTCTCAGTAGAACACTGCAGTAATGTGCGTGTGTGTGTGTATTTTCTTTCCTCCGTCTAGTCATCGTGATCCAGCTCAGTCCTGCTCCAGCCCCTTCCCAGCGTGCAGGTATCATTCAGTCCATCGCTCTCTCTGCCACTGCACCCCCCCACCTTACCAACACCTTTGTCCTCCATTGCATCATCCACTTCCTCTTCCTTCATCTTCTCTCTTTCGTGTTTTTTGTTTTTAGTATAAATGCACACTTCTTTAGACCTATAAGACAAGAATAACTTTGGCTGCTCCTCACATTCTCAATAGTTTTCTTCGTTCTGGCCCTGCAAGTAAAGCTTAAAAAACACCTCGATACCACGACGTTCTCCACGTTTCTCTTAACATCCAATTTAATTTAGAGGTTGAATGGATAGGGCTATGGTGAGAAATATGATACTGTGTTTACAAATGATAGCTAGTGTTAAATCTGACCACCACCTAATATGGGGTTATATCGTCTAGGCAGACTAGAATAGACTTTGAATAACTCATAAAAGTAACTTATGTGAAAGATATGGATTACCATCAGCAGGCCAGCATATAAGCATCCAGTTTTATTTCCTACTCAATAAGGATGCGCCGATCATACAATCTAAATATTGGATAATGGTGATAATACTGTGATCCAACAAGACAATGCTTTTTTTTCTCTCTAACCATTGTTATCATTGTTTAGTCTCACACTTGTGTGGAAGCTTTTCCTGGACTGTTTTCTGTCGTCTCTGTTGAAGCAACTTTCAGCAGCTCTCTTATTCACACGGGATGGTGGGTAGCTCCACATATTTGATTGGGTAGACTTTTACTCTGAATTACTCTTCCTGACGTGAGTTCAAAGCAGGGATCGACTCCATACTGTCATTTCACTTCACTTGTATCCTGACAGCTCCGCATCCAACACGGGTTTGTGAGGAGCGGTGAAAGGAGGTGTGTTTAGACTGAGAGAAGGAAAGGACAACTGTAAATGAGAGCTATGCACAGTAGCCTGTGATTCTTACAGTGAGCTAGCGCAGATAAATTGGAAAAGCTGGATCGGTGCGTCCCTGCTTCGTGTGGTCATCCTACAGTTTAATCCCTGTTTATGAATCCAGCGCTGTTATTTTATCCCAGCAGTCATTTACACCTCCTCTACACTCACATCATCCCTCCATCTTTCCATCTCTGCTCCTCCCTCTGTGTGAATGCGTGTCAGTGGCAGGGAAGTGTTGGTATGTGTTAATGTTCACTGTGTGTGTGTGGACATGTGTCGGATGATTAACCTGTGTTTCGCTGGAGGCAGAGAATCACGGTGCATGTGGCTTTTTTGCACGGCACGATGTTTTTTGGGTTTTTTTTGTTTTGTTTTTTGGGGGTTGTGTTTCGTTTGACACAGTCTCTAATCCAGCATCCCCACTGGTCCGCCTGCAGGAGTGCTGCGAGCACTCCGGCCTCCCTCTCCCTCTTCGCTGTTTTCTTTGTGTGTCGACTGAAGACTTGCCTTCCTGTCCAAGAGTGACTGTCTGTCTGACTTCCAGCCTCAGTCTGTGCTATGCAGTTTTGGCCGAATCTCTTCTGTCTCTCTCACATCGGATCGTTTGATGTTGTGTGTTTTCTCATCTTCTGGCACCCTCCCCTTCCTTTTGCAGCGGCACTGTGTGAGCAGGAGGCGGTGCAGCAGTGCCTGCGAGTATCTGTGTTTGTGCATCTCTCCCTTCCCTCGCTCTGTCTGCTCATCAATCCTCCCATCCGTCCATCTGGAGCCAGTCGAACTGTGGAGATGCAATTTGTGCCAAAGACCGCCTGAATCCTCCTTTCTTGTTACACTAACCCCCTCCTCTCCTTCACTAACTGGTTCTCCCCTTACAGGCTTCATTCATACAGGTGACTCACGGATCCAAACGCCCGCTGGCTCTCTACAAAAAAGCTCCAAATCGTATTAACAACAACACTGCATGGTCCTTGAGATACGTTGCATACTGGTTGCAAACCTTTAAGACGATGATGGGAGATTGCTGTTAACCTGTCTGTAATAATATTTACGTTCAGGGTGGTCACTGCAGCTGCTGACTTTCTGTCTGAGAATTTGGTGCATGACCGGTACTAATACTACTGCAGATCGTTTCTTCCTGAAATTCTTTAATACGCCTATTATTGAAGGATGAGTTTGTGCTTGTTTTGCATATGAACCTGATATTACACGGCTGGTGGCGTTTTAACATGTCTTCGAATGCATGATTTGGACTTATCTTTATAAAGGGCTAGAAGCATCTGGTATTCACTGTCTTGATTTCCTTTGCAGCCAAACCACACCTACAGCGCTTTAACAGTTTAACCAAAATATTGTAAAATCGTCTGCAGTTTTTTAAATTTATCAAAAGAAAAATAAGATGAAATGTGACTTCTCACTTGTATTTGCTCTCACTAATCATTCATGTGTTTAGTCCCCCTTTCAAGCCAGGAAAAGTTAAATAGTGCTGCCTGACTTTATTTAAATAATAATTCTTTTATTTGATACTACAGTCTGTCGCCTTATTTTTTAAAAAAAAAAATTTTGGTATTTTAGGTTCCTTGCCTGATGTCCTGCATATGTTTTCTGCTTTAAATTAGTGGTGCAACGGATCAAAAATCTCACGGTTCGGATCGGATCACGGTTTTAAGTCACGGATCGGATCAATTTTCGGATCAGCAAAGAAAAAAGACAAAATTAACATTTAATTATTTACTTATTGAAGTATTTTTTTCCCCTGTTTAAAAACATTCAACTCAAGACTCATTCCACGCAATTATTAAAAAAAAAAAAATTATGGTACAATATAGGGCAGTACAGGGCCTGGGACAGTTCAGCCACAACTTTAAACTGTTCCTGCTCATACATACTTGGAACAGGACATCATAGTGTGGCTCAAGCACGTTCATCATAGTTTAAACCCCTTGTTTTGCACAACGGAATACGGCCTCCCGTCTGCAGCTAAACACCCCAATAGCTTTTGTAATAGCTTTAGCCTGGTCGGACTGGGCAGCAAAGGGCTGCTTAAATACCGCAAACTCCTCTGCTCCTCCACTTGGACCGCTAGCACTGGCCATAACTATCGCTTGACAGACCCACCACGCCACCATACACATACTTTTTTTTCCCCTTCTTTTTCGAATCTTCGGATCACGTGCGTGCCGAACCGTGGAGTGGGATCGGTTTGGATTATGGATCAACCGTGAGCCGTTGCACCACTAATTAAGATAAGTCAGTACTTGATAAAATCTGAAATTGCTGGCAATCTAAGGACACATTAAATATGTGCTTCCTCATTACAGGGTTAACCCCTGGTTCAGGTTTTCCTTTGCAGCGCAGGCTAATTAACAGCCTCTTTTGGTGCAGGGGTTTGTGCTTGTACTGTTTCCCGCTAGATCGCTTCGTTCTAAGATCTGTAATGAGTAAAATACTTTCATATTCAAAATCGCGGCCTGAAGCAGTAAAAATGAAACCCGTGTTGTAATGAACTTGTAGTTTTCCTCTTAAAAACAAACTGTGACTCCCAAACTGTGCATTAAATCTGTGCAGTTTCTCTCTGAGAATAGTGCTCTGAGATAACCGTCCTGTTTGTTTTAACGTTTGGTCAGGACATCAGCGGAACCAAAACAAAGCTGTAACGCTCAAAGAGGAGGGGAAAGAAAAAAAACAAGTTCCAGTAATGGCTAAATAATGTGCAGGATCTAGGTCATAGCGATGTAATGAGCAAACTCTTTGACCTCAGCAAGCATCATATCTTTCTTTTATTGTGCAGAGAACAGTCAGAATACCAGATTTAGGGGATAAGATTAAAAACGCCACATTATCGCCTTCTTTACTGGTGGTCAGCAGCTTTAAGTAGCTACCATCCCTTTAAGCAACAGTACCATCATCATCCATCTTCTCCTTTCAGGGTCTAATTTTTCATATCCCCTCTCCCCCAGCGCTCCAGCTGCCCCTGGCTAACGATGGAGGCAGCCGTTCGTCATCTTCAGAGAGCTCGCCCCAGCACCACCCGTACCCCAGCCGCCCACGACACATGCTAACCCTGCCCACGCCTCCGTATGGCCTACAGAAGAGCCTAGAGAAGTGCGTTCACATTTTAAGCATGTGCTGTTCTGATTACAAGGGAAAAAAGCATTTACAGGTTTTACTGTGTCCTCGTGGTCCTATAATGAATGGTAATGGTTTTGATTAAAAAATCAGTAACCTTTCTGGGAGTATCCCAGTACTCCCATTAATTTGTAAGACAAAGAAGGAACACAGAGAGTAGATGCACACTCTGTGACAGGTCATGATGTTGTGTGTTATGGATCTACATGCAGAGTGTGGGTGAAAGAGACGCTCAGTAATCCACTCCATTTATGAGTCAGGTCTCTCATCTGGCAGCGTAGGTTGTACGCACTTCCTGTTGCATTTCCTGACACTGATTTCTTTTCCTTTTTGTCCTCCGCCTCCCCTGCAGTGCAGAGATTGACCAGAAATTGCAGGAGATCATGAAACAGACGGGTTATTTGAAGATCGACGGGCAGGTGAGACACGTTGTAGTTACAGAAGTGAAACTAAGAATGAGGACGCAGACGTGATGTGGCTTTTGCTTTGTGTCTCTGTGAGCTGACGCTTTTTAGCGAACGCTGTCTGTGCAACCAAACCTCAACGCTCAATCTTCTTCCAAAACAATAAAAAAAAAAAAATGTTTTTAAAAATAGCATCTGGCACTCAGGCGTGAATCAAACTATAATTGTGACCTCTTTTCCCCCCCAAAGATTTATATCCTGTTAACGAGCCTGGTTAGTTGTACTACAAAGAAAGTAGGAAAATAATAAATAGTAAATGGAATGGTTTTTATATAGCACTCAAGTACTTGAGTGCTCATAGCACTTTAATCGGTGTGTCTCATTCACGTAAGCACATTTTTCTACACTTACTCCCAACGTGTTTACCAAAGATGCTTTGTCATGCAGACTGGAATAGGCAGGGATCAAACTGCAAACCTTCCAAGTAGTAGATAATTTGCTCTACGACAGCTTCCAGCACCTGGTATTCCCACTTCCAATAGGAACCAAGCCCAAACCCGTTTAGCCTCTGAGATCAGGTGAGGTCAGGGTGGTATAGCTGGCTAACTGGCTAATAATATACAGAAATTAAGCCAGACGTATTTGTTAGTTGCAGTGCGGTATACTTACAGGTTACATGGTGTGTGTTTGTATGCACGCTCTCTCCGGGTTCTCCGGCTTCCTCCCACAGTCCAAAGACGTGCTCTTAGTCAACAAGGTGCTGGAAACCTTCAAGATTTTGGTCCATGTTGACGTGACAGCGTCACACATTTGCTGCAGATTTGTCAGCTGCAGGTCTGTGATGTAAATCTCCACAATATCCCAGAGGTCCTCTATTGAGACCTTGTGACTCTGGAGGTCGTTTGAGTACACTGAAAGAAACCAGTTTGAAATGATTTGATGTGGTCTGTAATGTCACAGGGCCTGTCTGGCATCCAAAACCATGCCATGTTCAAAATCCACCTAATTCTCCATTCTGATGCTCAGTTTGAACTTCGGCAGGTTGTCTTGAGCATGTTTACATTCCTAAGTGCTGCCATGTGATTGGCTGATTAGAAATGTCATGAAGGAGCAGTTGAAGAGGTCCACCTAATAAATAAATAAGCACAGAGAACCGTGTTAAATCGGGTCCACGTCCAGCATGTTCTTGGGCAGTGCACAGACAGCAAACAGAGCATCATGCACACCAGCAACAACCTTGGCGTGTCTGCTGTTTGCTGAACAATGTCTGGCCTTGTTTAGTTTGTGTGTTTGTTTGTTTTTTTCTCCCTCTTCCAGCCTTCAGGTCTAGTTTCATACCGAGTGCCAGTCGGAGTTTGAAGATGCTTGAGAAAATTATATGACTCATTACTGCTCTCCAGATTGTTTGTTCTTCTCCTCATTAGCCCAAAGGCTCTGCTACATAATGCACTCAGTGAGCTGTCACTCACTGCAGCACAGTCAACAGAGACTTATTTTTAACAAAGCAAGGCAATTACGCATCTTCTCACTGTGTGCTGCTATTCTTTAGCCTTGGCTGATCCACAGATCCAAGTGTTTGTTCTCAAGTATCACAGAGCAGTTCGCTGTTGCTGCATGATGCAGAAAGTCTTCAGGTTGTTAAAGAGTTTGTATTTGTATTGTTTTAACATTGGAATCACTAAAATACTTGAAACACAGAGTCTGAAATGTTGTTTCAGCGGTATCCAGCAGAGGTAACAGACCTGTTTAGCGAGGGGGAGATCGGCAGCGGGACTTGCGGACAAGTCTTCAAAGTGCGATTCAAGAAGACGGGCCATGTCATTGCGGTCAAAGTAAGATAGTTGTTTTGTTTGTTTGTTTGTTTGTTTGTTTGTTTGTTTGTTTGTTTGTTTGTTTTTAAATGGGCAAAAAAGAAAAAACAAACCAAAAAAATTCAAAACTGATCAAAATTAAACACTATACACACAAATATTGCATTTGTCTTTGCAAGACTTGATAATAATGCAATAAATGGAGAACGAGGCGATGTAGGATTTTGAAATTCTTACCATTATGTATGTATGTGTAAAATCTCAGACAAGTTTGAATCCTGGTGACTTTCACCTCAACGTCAAGGTTTTTACTCATAAAGGGGTTCGGGTGAAGAGTGAAGCTGGGACCCAGCCCCGGATCAGGATAGATGGATGGACACGCCTGGTTCATCACATCACTTCATAATGTAGTTGTACTCATTCGTTTTGTTCCCCATTGTCAGAAAGTTAAAGGCGCAGGAAATTACTGATACTGGCTCTCAAATATCAGCCGTCTTTAAAGTGTTTGCAGCTGCAGATAAAAATAGATTTTTCATGACATTATCAAACTGTGTGAAATTTATAATGGTGACATTTCTAAAATGTTAATGACAGAGGCAGGAAATGTAGTGATTCATGAAAGATCCCTGCTTCGACCCCCAGGAGGAGACATCCGGCGTAAAAATCAGCCAAGTTAAATAACGTGGCGCTACCCGCTGTGGCGACTCCTCAGCTGCAGTCGTGTTTGTGCTTGTAAACCGTGGAAAATATCTGCACGCTAAACACAATCGTACATGGTTCTGCTGCAGCGCAGATACCCCTGCTTCTCAGAAGTTTTTGGACCAGATTGAAACCACAGCGTTATGGCGACTTAGCTTAGATGCTGTGAACACTCACATGGACACGTTTATTTGTATTTCCTTTTCTTGGATGGCTGGCCGGCTGAAATGTGGATCCCAGCTCAGTTACTTTGTCCTTTATTGTATGAATGCCTATATTTTATTTTTTTAATCTTGGTTTTTGCAATTTGAATAAAACTGCGCTTCTTAATGTGAGTATTTTTTGGACTAACTGTAGTCCAGACGTGTTTGTCTGCTCATAGTAGATGATGGGAACACACATTCTCTAACTTCAGGTACCATAATCAAAATACTGGGACTAACTCCAAACAGAGAGCCAGAGATTGAAGGCACTCAAGGCTCTGCTCAGTGTAGTCTCACTGTTTTAATTTTCCTTTGTACTTTAATTGTGAATAGTTTACCAACAGAGGAGCAGTTACAGCCCCATATAACAAACCCGCTATTAATGAGATCATTTAATTGTAGCCCTTCTGGGATGTTTAATAATTAGGCAGTCAGTCAAAGCACCAGAGGAGCCTTTGTTTTATTAAAGCCTACACTCGGCGTAGTGCCTGTGTTCATTTACGTTGTCTGTGTGTCACCAGCAAATGCGTCGCACAGGAAACAAAGACGAGAACAAGCGGATCTTGATGGACCTGGACGTGGTGCTGAAGAGTCATGACTGCCCTTACATCATCCAGTGCTACGGCGCCATAGTGACCAACGTGGGTGTTCCCAAAATACTTAACTGTTTGTAATCACAGCAATAAAATTATAGTACTGTAACAGTGCAGCCCCAGGTTTATTTTATATATCTGCACCCAGGGTGTTTTTGACTCTGATTTTAGTGAACTCCCAAGCTCCCAGACCTTAGCTACTAACTGTGTGTTTGTGTGTATGTGTGCAGACGGATGTATTCATCGCCATGGAGCTGATGGGAACTTGTGCTGAGAAGCTAAAGAAGAGAATCCAGGGTCCCATCCCAGAGCGAATCCTCGGAAAGATGACGGTGGCAGTAAGTGGCAGGAACACACGCAAACCACTCTGCTCCTATGTTCGTTTGTGTTCTTACAATCTGTGTGTGTGTGTGTGTGTGTGTGTGTGTGTGTGTCTGTCTGTCCTATGTAGATAGTGAAAGCGTTGCTGTACCTGAAAGAGAAACACGGCGTTATCCACCGGGACGTCAAACCCTCTAACATCCTGTTAGACGCTAAAGGTCAGATTAAACTGTGCGACTTCGGCATCAGCGGACGCCTCGTCGACTCCAAGGCCAAGACCCGCAGCGCCGGCTGTGCTGCCTACATGGCAGTAAGTGAAAACACACATACACACAGTCTAGCCGTACACTGCTTAAAAACTTGAAGACACACTTTAGCATCGAGTCAGTTAAGCTTCTGTGATATTGATCTGGTCAGTTAAGTAGCCGAGACGGTTGTTAATTAGTTTCAGTTAATTAGTTATGTTACATTTGAGTCTGATGCCACCAGGCTTCACCTCAGGCTGTCCTGGAGCTGAGTGATGCCCTGAACCAGATCTGGGAGGAGATCCCCAAACGAGGGTAGTCTCATTAGTTTACTTTAATTTTCGGGTGTCTTAGAATTCAACCCTGATAACCTGTTATTGCTGCTTTGTTGTGGACAGTGCTATGCAGGATAACTTGGTGAGAGTAGAAGATTTTAATCAATCAAGTATAAACGAACTGACTACAAACTAAGTGAGGGAACCACAGAGCAGGTTTAGTGGTGACTGTCACGATGGTGTAAGATAAAGCACAAGACTTGAACGTGTTCAAACTTTGAGTGTTTATGAGGCTGTGCTTGCAGAAATCCCACTCCACACAATGCACACTCTCGGGACAGCTAACCTTAGTGTTGCCTGTTCTTTTCTTTCTTTTTCTTTTTTCTTTTTTTTTTTGTTGTTTTTTTTTTTTCTCGTTCTTGCAGCCTGAAAGAATAGACCCTCCAGATCCCACCAAACCTGACTATGACATCCGGGCAGACGTGTGGAGCCTCGGCATCTCTCTGGTAAGTCTGTCATTTCAGTCTGTGCCCTTGGTCGTAATATTTACATCGATGACACTGAAAGACAGTTGCAAAATAAGAACCGAACGGCAGATCCATTCACATTAAAACAGCTGTTTGAATGTGCAGCTGTGATGCATGAGGTGATGCAGCGATAAGATGTGGTAATAACGGCATGTCGCAAATCGACTAACATTTTTAACAAGTGTCGTCATAACTGCATCGGTTTCTAGTGGCTGCGAATACTGGGAGTTAAGTAGGTCAGATTACAAGTAGTGTAGACCAGCGTGCGTGTGTGTGTGTGTGTGTGTGTGTGTGTGTGTGTGTGTGTGTGTGTGTGTGTGCGCAAACTAAAATTGTTCATGTCCAACCGTTTAGATTAGCAAATACGTTTCTATGAGCGGCAAATTATTGTTCTGCT